TGTCTCAAACTGCACAATTCTTTCTTTCTGCTGTATCTGTCTCCTCTGTCTGCTTCCATCAATCCATCAATTTTTCTCAACAATTCCCTTTCTCTCAACAATCCCCCCTTGCTCCTTGCAGCCACTCTTTAATCGTCTCATCACGCCTCCCCAAGAGAAGTGTGATCAAAAATGTTTTTTTAGACTTCTTGACCACCTGTGGTGTGTTTCTCCTCTCCTTAGACCTGCAACTTAATTAGCACTGTAGCACTGTCCTCCCATTATTCATCCATTTTGCTCAGCAAGCACCAGTAATGTCTCCATTGTGAGACTTGTTACTATTTTTGCCATATCAAATATGCCAAGGGGAGCTTGCCAGGTGCTGCCATGCAGGTGGGATATTCTCGTTAGCTTGCCGGGCTCTCCGAGAGGGACGGAGGAATCGAACCTGGGTCAGTCGCGTGCAAGACAAACACCCTACCCGTTGTGCTATCGCTCTAGCCCCTGCAACTTAATTAGCATCTTTAATTTTTCTAATATTTACCATTCTGTATGGACACAGTAATAGAAACTTTTAGGCTTGTAGGGTGACTCTCCTGGGGAGATCTTACCACAGACTCAGACTATGGTGCTCAGGCCAAAACAATCATTCCTAACCCCAGCAGATCCAAATCCAGTTATTATTTTTGGATCATGACAGAATCTGTCCATGAGCAAGCTCTAAACTCATAGTTAAGTATTAGGGCACTTTGGCCAGGCCCATTTCGATACCAGGGTAACTCATAGCTGACCGCTTGCCCTGGGTCCATCCAGTTCCTCATCGGGACCCTACTTTTGGGAATCTAGGAAATAAGAGCAACTGAGGCTTAAGTCAACAGAGCAGATGTCCAGGAGGTGTATTATCTGGAGTCAATCAACTCCCAAGCCACAGGCTTGTCTCTTTAACTGTCTTCCTGTATCCATACAAAAAGCAACTGCTCTGAAATAATAACCCTTCAAAGGACATTAAGGAGAAGAGACAGTATTTACAAGTCAGAGTCTGATAACAGGTTGAGGGGCAATCAACAAACACAAGCTTCCAGCAGTCAGGGAGGAAGGGCAAACCAACTGTTATGCTACACATCTTTACTATGTTTCATTTTTCATGACCCACACCCCTGATGCTCATGGGACCATATGGGACAGCCAGGATCCAACCAGTGGTCAGCTGTGTGTAAGGCAAGCCCTTTAATTACTCTACTATCTCTTTGGCCCCCTCTACTATATTTCTTATTCAATAAACTACTATAGGATCGTAATTTAAAATAATTTTGAAATGATCTCAATTCCAGCATACAAGCAAACACATACTCTTTCAACAGATACATTAATGACCTCTCTCATATGTGGGACTTAAAGATACACGGCAAAGGCAACACAATGAGAAAACTTAATCCACAGAACTGAGTTTCTGGAGGTGGGTATGAAAAGGAGAGGCATTGGGAACCGAGGAACCGAGAGGGAGGTGGGTACAATGGAGAAGAGTGTGACCACAACCATCAAAATTATAGTAAATCGTAGCACCTCAAAAAAAAAAAGTTAAAAGGAATTAGTGAAAATAGAATAAATGTTTCTCTAATTCTGCAAGTGAATTATTATGTAGCTTTGAATACCTACAAAATGAGAATAATCCAAGGAATGTATTTCTAAATAGTCCTGGCTGACCCAGAGATAGATAGGTCAACAGGCTAAGTGCATATGGTGCAAACATGAGGCCTGGAATTGATCCCCATGGCACAGCATGGCCCCCAGAGCGATACAGGAAGCAGCCCCAAGCCCCCTCCCCCCAAAAAATCAATAGTGCTACATTCCTAGATGAATATGATTTATCTATTATTTAAAAACAGAGAGCAAAGTATACACACACAAATTTTCATCATTAGGCAAAAAGTATCTTCTTAAGTGTTTTAAGTTGTGGATACTATTTCATGTATTATTAACTCTTCTTAATTGCTAGAGTGGTAAGTATCACTACTGACCCTTCACCCAGATCAGAATAATATAATTTAATCTAATGGAAGGCATGAGGGTTGGGGGAAAAGTTAGTTCATTTTTTCAGGCCAGTGAGATATAACACTGGGAAAGGTGTCTGCTCTGTATGGGGCCAAACCAGATTTGATCCCCAAGTGCATCTGATTCCCTGAGCACTGTAGAATGTATTCCTCCTAAAAAATATAGCTCATTTTTCTATGCTTTAGTCCCCGCCCAAATCAAAAGGCCTAGAGGAGTGGTACATAAGAATTCAGCAGAGCTTTTCTGTGGTCTATAGAATAGACTGAAAGGTGTTATCTAAGATGAACTCTTAAGCATAAGGCATTGTGCATTTCATTGAAGAAACAAATACTATAAGCAGCAAGCCACAGCGTTAAAGGCTATACAAAAGGTGCCTTAGGGAAAGGTTCAAATAAAGGAAACTAACTTAGCAGAATGGAGTTTGGGAGGCACATGGAAAAAAGTAGCTTGTTACCTGGCGAGGACCAAATTAGATTGAGAAATGGAAAAATACCATCATAGAAATATATCTTGGGGCTGGAGCGATAGCACAGCGGGTAGGGCGTTTGCCTTGCACGCAGCCAACATGGCCAATACAGGTTCGATTCCCAGCATCCCATATGGTCCCAACACCGCCAGGAGTGATTCCTGAGTGCCTGAGCCAGGAGTAACCCCTGAGCATCGCGGGGTGTGACCCAAAAAGCAAAAAAAAAGAAATATATCTTTAGTCTAACTCTGCCTCCTCTCTATAAGTGACAACTTCATTTTCTGATTTGTTTCTTCCCAAATTACCTGTGCATTTTTTTGCGGGGGTGGGCAGGGGAGGGCCAGGGGCCACACTGGAGGTACTCAGAGCTTACACCTTTGTTCAGGGATCACTCCTGGTGGTATGTGCATGTTGGGGTGGGGTGGGGACCAGACAACAACAAAGACAACCGTGGGGGCCATATATGGTATTGGGAATGGAACCCTGGTAGACTAAGTGGAAGGCAAGCACCTGCGCCCCTGTACACACTTTATCACTGGCATCTCTCCATGTGCAACTTGGAAGAAATGTGAAAGCTGAGGAAACTAATCCTTTAGTCCTGAAGCATAACATGTACAATGTCTACGGGAACAGTTTCACTTAAAAACATGACAAGAGGCAAATATTCCCATGGCCCTTGATCACTTCATATTTAGAGTTAAGCAATCTTTTCATTGGCTTGTCCTGCCTGTTTAATACTCTGACATTTGCTGGGTAATGTAATTCCAGTCTACAGCAATGTCCTCCCATTGTTCATCGATTTGCTCGAGTGGGCACAAGCAACGTCTCACAACAAATAGTGAGACTTCTTGTTACTGTTTTTGGCATATCGAATACGTCACAGGGAGCTTGCCAGGCTTTGCTGTGCGGGCGAGATACTCTTGGTAGCTTGCCGGGCTCTCCAAGAGGGACTGAGGAATCGAACCCGGGTCAGCCCAACTGCCCAGTGCAAGACAAACCGCCCTACCGCTGTGCTTTCACTCCAGCCCAATTCCAGTATATATACTTTAAAAGTACTGCTTTTTTTTCTTTTTTGGGTCACATCCGTCAATGCACAAGAGTTACTCCTGGTTCATACACTCAGGAATCACTCCTGGCAGTGCTCGGGGGACCATATGGGATGCTGGGAATTGAACCCGGGTCGGTCGTGTGCAAGGCAAATGCACTACCTGCTGTGCTATCACTCCAGCCCCCTAAAAGTACTTTGAAAGTTTTTCTGTTCCACAGGAAAACAGACAATGTGGGATGGGTAGCCAAAAGTGCCTGCATAAACCACAGGATCCCTCTTCTCATGGGGCAGTGCTCTCGGTCACCGCCTCCCCCTTTCACTACATCCCTTTCTGGTCCCAGTGTGTGTGGGGGTGGGGTGGGGGGGAGTAACCATGTGACAGCGTGCCTGCACTCAAGAGAGAGTCAGCCGGGGCTGGAGGCTGGACAGTGCAAACTGGCACCAGTGTGACCAATGGTGACCTAAGAAGGCTGTCAAATAAAAAAGACTGGGGCTGGAGCGATATTACAGCGGGTAGGGCTTTTTGCCCTGCACGTGGGAGACCCGGGTTCGATTCCCAGCATCCCATAGGGTCCCCCGAGCACTGCCAGGAGGAATTCCTGAGTGCAGAGCCAGGAGGAACTCCTGTGCATCACTGGGTGTGACCCGAAAAGGGAAAAAATAAAAATCCACACCTCCCTTGAAAAAGTCCACTCTTGGGGTCGGATGGATGGTTATGGAGGGTAGAATGCTGGCCTTGCACCACAAGGGCTAGCACTCACCCTCTTCTCCAACAGGAACAAAATGACCAAATTTTTTAAAAAATTACTTTTTTCCTTTTTTTTTTTTTTAGTTTTGGGGTCACACCTGGCAGTCCTGGCGGGGCTCGAGGGGCGACGTGGAGGGTGAGTGTGTGTGAGAGGGCGCTGCACGCGGCCGTGTATGTGTGTGTGTGACCCGCAGCACCCGGGAACCGGGACAGGGTGCCGCACTCGGCCGGGGAGCTCTGCAGGGGGGAACCTCGGTGCCAAGAGGCCCGTGGCGGCTCTCGACAATCGTCCGTTTCCCGCCCCCCGTACCCTCGCGGCTCTGAGGCGACGGTGAGGGGACAAGGCTGTGACCCGTCGCCGCCGACGCCGCCGCACACTCGCTTTCCGCGCTCGCGGCCGCCCCGTCGGGGGAGAGCCGGGAGGGGAGGGGAGGGGGAGGGCGCCGGAAGCCGCGGGGCTTGGCTGGGTAGTTCCCCGCCCCCCCACCGCAGAGGGGCTCCCCGCGCGCCGGGCCCGCAGAGCGCGACCCCCGGCGGCGGCGCCAACAGGCCCTGCGGCGGGCGGCCGGCGAGGGACGCGAAGGCCGGCCCGGGCCGCGCACGGGGGGAAAACGGCAGCAGCGGCGGCGGGGGGAGGGGAGTGGGGCGAGGTGGGGTGGGGTAGGGGGGAGTCGAGGCGCCCGCGGCTGCGGCCCGGACCCACTCACCGCGGCCGTCGCCAGGCTGTGCATGTTGGGAGCGGCCGCCGCTGCTGCTGCTGCTGCCGCCGCCGCCGCTGCTCTTTCCGCCCCGCGCCCCGCCGCGTCCGCCGCGCGTCGCCGCCGCCTCAGCGCGCCCCCAGCCGCCGGGGAGGTTGAGCCGCCGCAGCCGCCATCCGCCTCCGCGGGCGCGCTCCGCCCCCTTTCCCGGCCCTCTGACCTTTCACCCTTCCCCCCCGTCCCCGCCCACGCCGCTGGCTTCTTCCCGCCTCCCGCTTCTCGGCGGAGTTCAACGGCCCCGAATTATGGCCTTGGCCCCTTCAGATGCGGGGCTTGGGAAGGGCCTCCGCCTCCTGCCAGTTCCCTGAAACCTTCCCCCGCCCCTCCCCTCCCCCTCTGGCATCAGACAGGTAACCCCAGAGAGGGGCGTGAACCGTGACACTCCCGCCGGAGGCCGGTGGAAGGGCGGGAAAATCTGGGCCGTCCCCGGGGCGGGAGTGGGGAGGGTTGGAGAGGGCGGAGGACGAGCACTGCGCCTGCGCCAAGCGGGCCGTGCGCCGAGGAAAAATGGTGGGAGGTCAAAGTGCGTGCCGGGATGGGCGGGGGAGGGTGGTGGTTGGAGAACTGCGCGTGCGCTCGGCAAGAGGGCGACCGGGGCGGGGCTGCCCGAGCCCGGAGCTCGCGGGGCCGGGGGCGGGGCCGGCGGGCCGGAGGGGCGGAGTCGGCCGGCTCGTGCGCACGCGCCCCTGGGCGGGGAAAAAAACGCGTCGAGTGCGTGCGTGCGTGCGTGCGTGTTTGCGTGTTTGCGTGTGGTCCCAGTTCCCGCCATCAGCCGCCCTCCCTGCCTGGGGGGGAGCCAGCGGCTCTGCCTCTCTCCGGGTCCAGCGGCCCTCCCTGCGCTGCCCCCCCGTCCGGCTCCTCCCCCTCGGCGCGGACTCGGGGCTTCCGGCAGGCCGGTCGGGGGGCTCGGGACTCGCGGACGCAGGTAAGGCGGAGGCCTGGCCGGCTCCTCCCCGGGGCCGTTTCTGCCGGCAGAGTGTGTGGTGTCTCCCACCACCTCCTCCTCCCCACCTCCCCCCCCCCCACGCCGGGCCCGTGCGGTCCGCCCACTCGGCGTCCACTCGCGGGCACTTGGCCCCGGCTGCCGCTCCGCCCGGCGGCCCGGCCGCATCCCCGCGGGGCTGCTCCGCCCGCCCCTGCGCGGGGTTACCCGGGCTCGACTGTCACCCGCGCCCTCTGCGCCCCCGAGTGGGGCGGGGGGTGGGGCGGGGGGTGGGGCGGGGCTGGGAGGGGATGCTGTCGTCGCCCTCCGCTCACCTCCTTTTTTTTTTTTTAAATTAAAATTTTTGGAGGCCCGCCGCTTTTCCAGGTGACTTCCGTGGCCGCGCATCCCTGGGGCCCGGGACGGCGATCCCCGCTCTCTGGGCGGCTTCTCCACTTTGCGCGCTCGCGGGCCCGCCCTCTCCGAGAGGCTCGGTGGTGGGGTTTGGGGTGGGTTGCGTGTGCGGGTTGGGGCGGAGGGCGGAAACCTCTTCCATCTCGGAACCCTCAGGAGCAGGCTCTCGGGCTCGCCCCCTTTTTCGGGCATGCTTCCGAGGCAAGGGAACTCGGGTCCAGCGACGTAATCCGGTGTTCGGGAAGAGGTGCTGTGTGTGCCCCCTCCCGGGAGGGCTGTTTTTTTTTTGTGTGTGTGTGTGGTCATCCTTTCCGCCCGTCCGCTTGGCTGGGTCAGAGCCGCTGGCTGTGTAGGGTGGTGGTGCCCGACGGAGTGTCTTGACGCTGGAGGAGAACGGAGCTGGATGTGGTGGGCAGGGAGGCCCCAGGACTCTGCAGTTAGGGACGCAGTTATGTGGGGGGGGGGCGGGTGTGGAATGCATCGGTGCCATCTGCCAATTTGATGGTCACCAAACTTCCGGATGCGGGGCAGTGGAATGGCCAAAAAGAAAGCGGGGGTCTAGATCCGAGGGAACACCGAGGTGTGCTGTGTGTGGAGCAGCCGTGCAGACGGGTAGGTTTGGGAAAGAGAGGAAGGGGCTAATCACAGCAGCTGCATTCTGCTCAAAGGTGAAGTGGAAAGTGGGTGGAAAACGCTGGTGACATCAGTGAGCCTTGACCCTAGGAAGAGATAGATGTCTGATAGAGTGAGACCGGGTGTCTTGGGTCTGGCCTGCCTCAGGTTTATTTTACTTCTGCCTTACAGTCTACTGATTCGTGGATTTAGCGGTTTTCAGTCTCAAACTGCTCCCCTTATTTTCATTGTCAGATTTAAATCTCTCACATTTAAAATGTAATGTGTCTAAAACTAAAGTGTGGGTTTTTTTTTTTTATGGGGGGGGAGTGGTCACACCTGGGGGATTACTCCTGGCTCTGCACTCGGAAATTACTCCTGGAAGGGCTTGGGGAATAGAATGAGATGAAGAGGGTCGAACCCTGGTCGTGTGTGGGCAAGGGCCTTACCCACTATACTATCTTTCCAGTTTGTAAAACAGTAGTCTTAATCTCTGTCTCTCTCCTTTAGTATTCCAGTCTGTGGCATATATTTGTCCACTGGCAGGGTGAAAGCTGGAAAGCCGTTCTTGATTTCTCCCTTGGACTGTATATTCGAATACACCTCAAGGTGTATTTGCTCTTTTTTCCCAATATATGCATTGAATCTATTTTTGTATCTCTGCAATATTACTTTTCTAGTTCAAGGTGAAGCCCTCCTTCATTTGGACTTAATGTTACTGATTCTTTGCAGTTCTCTTTTGTAAATGGAATAATCACCTTTTGAATGGTTACAAGGATTAAATGAGATAACCATGGTAGACACAGCACACAGTCAAGAGCCATTATTCATTGTTCTAAGTTGAATCATTTTCGTACATTCCTGTCTTTTTGCCTGCTTTCTTCCATATTTGCTCCTTTCCTTCTTCCCCAACACAGACCAACCTTTATCCCTGTCATTCAGCGTTCGTTCCAGCAGTAACAATGGTCTCACACAGTTTAAAACCCGTCAGTGAATTACATCTTTCTAAAGGTTAGCCCACTGAGTCAAAATTCAGAATCTCAGCCACAGACATAGTACTGAGGTGAAGGTGCTTGTCTTGCGTGCAGCCAACCCGGGGTTCAGTCCTTGACATCCCATTTGGTCCTCTGAGCATCACCAGAAGTGATCTCTGACCGAAGACAGGGTCAGTACTACCGGGTGTGGCCCCAACCTTGCCCGCCCTCGCCCTGGTAGAATAAGACTATCAGTATCTGTTTATGGTCTACAGGACTGCACGCCCTGTTCTTTTCCCTGTGACCAGCTTCCTCTTGAGCCCTCCTCTCCCTCCCCAGACTCACCATGCTGCTCCTCATTCTTTCTCCTTTGAGGACCCGGGATCACACCCACGCGGAGCTGAGACACTCTGGAGGGCTTGCACTTCCGCTTTCTCTGCTCCACACCAGGCACAGGCGCTCCCTTGCGGGGGGGGGGGGGGTCCCCCGCTTTTCCTTGGCCACTTTTGCGGCTTGCACCTGCGCACCTGAGTCTCCAGCATGATGCCTGAGCACAGTCTGCTTGTGCCTGCTGCGGATATGGCTGTAGTGCTCCAACACTTGCTTGTGGGGAGGCTGTTCCCTCACACCTGTGGGGCTGGCACCTCTTTCTGTTGTGACCACTCACCTGACTGCCAGAGATCTCACACGGTGATGGTGTAAGAGAACTCAGACCACAGAGTGGCCGGCACTCAGCTCATTGCACGAGGGCTCCACCAGGATTGGACTCGGGCCTCGTGCTTGCCAGGCAGGCATTTCTGCCACCGAGACACCCCTGGGCCCCACACATCTCTTCGTTTAGTCACACCACGTTCTTTTCTGTCTCAGGTCTTTTGCACAAATTTGCTTGCATCTGTTTCAGCAACGCTGATCTCCCAATGAACCCATTTATTTTTATACATCTTTCTTAGGGGGAAATCTAGAAGTCAGAGCAGTGATGTTTATATTTTAACCACAGGTTACAAACATTGAGACGACCGAGCATCAGGTTTTCAAAGTTAAATAAAAATGACATCTTTAAGTTTCTGGTAGTGGATGTAGAGGAAAAATGAAAAATTTAGTTATTTCGCGTACACAGGATTTGTGTTTTAAAAAAATAGGAAATACAAAATAGAAAGTATGACGGCTAAGGATAGGCGTTTTGTAACAGTGAGCTGCTAAAAATGTTTGGGAGAGGGACAGGAGAAGTAATTCAGTGGATAGGGCCCTTGCCTGCACACGGGTGACTCAGATTTGATCCCCGGCATCCCGTATGGTACCCTGAGTACCATCAGAAGTAGCCCTTGAGCATTGCCAAGTGTGACCCCCTCAAAAAAAAAAAGATGAGTACAGGGGCTGGAGTTGATATAATTGTGGATAGGGTGCTTTGGACATAACCGTCTTAGGTTTAAATTTCATATGGTTCCCTGAACCCTCCCAGGAGTGATTTCTGTACTCAGTATAGAGTAAGCCCTGAGCACTGCTTAATGTGGCCTAAACGCCACCCCCCCCAAAAAAAAATAAAGGGGATCAATACATCTTATTGGTTAAGAGTTTATCTTGTGGACCAGTGATAATGTTAAAGACTTGCATGCCGCCAACCGGGTGCATCCTATGGTCTCCCTTGCACCACCAGGAGTGGCCCCTGAGCACTGTACCCGGGATAAGTCTTGAGCACAGCCGTGTAGCCTCCTAAAAGAGAAAGGCGGTCCATTTTTATTTTTCATTTAGTCACCTTGAAATTACAAAGTTATTCATGGTTGGGTCGCAGGCATATTATGTTTCAACACCAGTGTCCACTTTCCACCCGTGTACCTCATTTGCCTCCAACCTATCAGTGCTTCTATGAGAGAGGCACATTTTAAAAAAAATTTTGTTTTGAGGGCCACACCTTGCAGTGCTCAGGGGTCACTCCTGGCTTTGTCCTCAGAATTACTCTTAGTGGTCTTTGGGGATCCATATGGGTTTCTGGGGATCAAATTCAGGGCCTCTGCCTGCAAGCCAAGCGCTCTACCTGGTGTGCTCTCTCTGATCCAAATTTTAGTGTTTTTAAATTAAAATTTTGTTCATTTTTTTTTAAAGTTATTCTGTAGAAAGGTTGTTCTAGGGTTAAGGTTTCATTGAATGGAAAAATCCTGAGAATGGAGTGTGCAAAGTGTTTGCTGCAAATTGATAAGAATGCTGTGTGGTAGTGGTTTCTGGTGGGTTCTGCTGTTAGACTGTGTCCTCCCTCTTACCGATTGTAACCATGAACAAAATACTTAATCTGTTAACTCACTTATAAAATAGAGGTGGTTTTCCTTTAGGATGGTTGTGAATTTTAAATTAAGTAATGCACAGATGGCATATCTTGGGTTTCATAGATTTTGCATAATGTTGGTGGAGAGTGATGGATCTGGGGCTTCCTGGATGCAGTGCTTGAGCCAGTCCCTTTGTGAGTCACTTCCAACTATCTCCAGGCCGTGAGAGAGATGGGAGTAAGGTAAAGGGGAATCAGGTTAAAACCGATGCTAAAGGCTTTTCTGCCTCAAGTGGTGGGAAAGGGCCCAATCTAGGCATTTGTTGGTGAGTCTTGTACCAAGGCTGTATCATTTTCACAGATGTGCCTACAGAGTACTCACCAACAGTTCCATCAAGTCAGAGTAGCCCACTAACTGCTTTTTCATTCAGTAGCAAAGTGAGTGTAAAGTTGATCTGATCGCATTCCAGAATCTTGACATTTCTACCCAGACTGCCTGCAGCCTGGGGAGAACTTACCGGGTGAGCCAGGTCTTAGAGAAACCCAGAGTTAGTTTTGGGTGAAAAATTAAAAACACCACTGGACCTGCTTCTTGAAGTTTGTACCAACATGTGGAAATGGTGTCTTGAGGTTTAAGATATTAGGTAAGGTTGGTAAAGTCCACAAAGGAGGATGTGTAGTTACTTCTTTTCACTGCCCTTTTCATTTTCACAATGTGGGGGCAGGGCAAGGCTCAGGGACTTGGTTGTAGATTCCTGGAGTCCCTTAGCCCCCCCCCCCCAGTTTTTTTTTGGTGGGGGAGTGCGGCCACATGCAGCTGTGCTCAGGGTTTGCTCCTGGTTCTGTGACCAGGGATCACTCCTGGCCGTGCCCTGGAGACCGAATGTGGTGCCTGGGATTGAACCTGGGTTGGCTGTGTGCAAGGCAAGCACCTCACCAGTGGCTGGAGTCTCGTGCCTTGTACAGTAAATACATGCTGTAGGCAGACACGTGCCTAAAGTTTGATTGTGTGGGGTAAGGGCAGCTCTTCCTTGTTTGTCATTTTTTCAACGGCGTGATTTACAGTAGTATTTACGTTTTAAGCCTACAGTGCATTTCCTCCACCACCAGCATGGGTGGGTCTTGAACATTATGTTTCGGATGTTTTCAGTAAGGTTGTTTGTGATCTTTGTGTTGTTTTTGTTTGAGAGCCACACCTGGCTATACTCAGGTAACTCCTGGCTCTGCATTCAGGATTTACTCCTGGAGGTGCTCGGGGGACCAAATGGGATGTCAGAAGGGATGTCCGGATTGAACCTGGGCCAGCCACGTGCAAGGCAAGCACTTTACCCACTGTACTGTTGCTCCGGCACTGGTAGTTTGTGATTCAAAAATAAATAAAAATGAAGAGTTTGTCTTGTTCTGCTAAGTGATCGCTTTCTCATTTTTGTTTTAAATTTGTAAGTTGGATTCTTTTGGAAAGACACACTTATATTTCCTTTAGCTGAGTTGGTAGCTTCTGGAGAACTGACAGAGCTCGTGGAATATGAGTAGTTCCTTAAGAAACCAGCATTGCCTTTGGTGCAAGGATCAGAATAGTGGTTAACTGTTACTATGTAGGGTTTTTCAGTAAAAGTCCCTGGAAAGTTTGTGATCTTTGTTTTGTATCAGTTTCCAAGCATAACATTTTTAATGCAAATTGGTAAGAATTGGCACTCTTCCCCCAGGCCCTCCCTTTTTATCAGCAGTTTTATGCTTTCGCATCCCTTCTCTGACCACAAATGCATTCTGGGAAAAGTTGTTTTCTAAGTAGCACCTGAAATATCATTGAAGTAACTACGGGCTGGAGAGATAGTACAGCGGTTAAGGTGCTTGTCCCTGGTTTAATGTCTGGTATCCCACATGATTCCCCGAACTTCACCAGGAATGATCTCTGAGCACATAGCCAGGAGTAAGCTCTAGCACCCAAGCCCCAGCACCCAAGTCCCCAAATAAATGTGAAGATATGAGGACAGCTTTGCATTTAGTTCTCTAATGCATATAGAAAAATTTGAAGTGTTGATACTCTATAAAGATCATAGTAATATAACCCTAATTGGCCATTTAAAAGGGATCTGTGGTTCCAGTCTTCACTCACTATTGTGTCTTTTAAGAGCAAATTCACTAAAATTGATAGTACTTGTTTGTTCATTATTCCTGAAAAACGAGTTTGTTTGTTGTGGCAGACACTGTCCTGGTGAGGCTACAAAGATCAAAAGAACATATTGCCAGTCTTCAGTTAGCAAAGTTCAATAGAGAGACAAAGAGGTAAACAGTTTACAATACAGTGTGATTAATGTTCTACTAGAAATAAGCAGGGCTAGTACAATGTGAGAGTAGAGGAGTACTAAACATTCTGTGTTTATATGAGGTAGGAGGGAAAAGTGAAAGTAGCTTAGAAAGCCTTAAAGGGGTCTGAAGAGGTAATATAGGGGTTAAGGCATTTGCTTTGCATGTGGCCGACCCAAGTTTGATTCCCCATTGCTGCAGAGAGCCCCTAAGATCACCAGGAGTGATTCTTGAGCCCAGATCCAGGAATAAGCCCAGAGCGCCACTGAATGTAGCCCTCAAACAAAAATAAAACAAAAGAGAAATAAAACTGTATTCTCCTGCCACTGTTTTGTTCCTTCTTTTTTTTGCTTTTTGGGTCACACCCAGCGATGCTCAGGGGTTATTCCTGGCTCTACACTCAGGAATTACTCCTGGCGGTGCTTGGGGGACCATATGGGATGCCGGGGATCGGACCCGGATCGGCCGCGTGCAAGGCAAGTGCCCTATCTGTTCTGCTATCGCTCCGGCCCCGTGCCACTATACTTTTGCACATATAGTGGTCTATGCATAAAGACTTCTGTACTCTTCCCAGCCCCTCAAATTTTTCTCAGTTTTCTCTCCTGGCTCTAAAATCAAGGCTCCAGGGGGGCTGGAGCAATAGTACAGCAGGTAGGGTGTTTGCCTTGCACTCGGCCGACCCAGGTTCGATTCCCAGCATCTCATATGGACCCCTGAGCATCACCAGGTGTGATCCAAAAAGCAAAAGTAAATAAATAAAATCAAGGCTCCATTTCGACAGCTTCTTAGGGGGAGTGGGATAGAGATTGGACCACATCTTGCAGTAATTGAGGCTTACTCCTGGGTCTGTGCTCAGGGATCACTGTTTGTGGGGTTTGAGGGACTATATAGGCGCTGGGGATTGGACCCGAGTTGGCTGGTGTGCCGGACCATTGCCTTGCCTGCTATAGTATCTCTGTGGCTCCAGAAGGCTGCATTTGGAGGGCTTGTGGGGATAAAGAAACAAGTAGGATAGGTGTCCTGAAAGTCGGTATGTCATAATATGTATTACATTTTATGGTGAGAACTGCGGGGAGCTACTAAATTACATTGAGGAGACGATGAACATGATAGTGATGAAAGTTGTCTGGAATAACTATGGAGATAGAATTGACAAAACTGACCTTCCATCTCCAATCTGATGGCAATAATAATAAAGCAGTCAGAGATAACTCATGCTTCTGATGGGTAACTGAGATAGGAGAGAGGCTTAGCAACAACATGGAAAAAGATCTGGACTTACCAGAACAGGGAAGCAACAGCTCATTAATGGCAATAAAGAAAGCACTGTCCGGTTGCTGGCTAGGCTCGCCATTTCCTCATGGCACCGGGCAGTCTGATTGTGTCACCTGCTTGACTTCCGGTTGATTTGGCAGCACCTGGTGAGTAACTCACTTATCTGGGGTCTTTGGAGAAAAGGTTGTTTCAGACATGGAATAAATTCAGAAAGTGAGGACCAGAAAGATCGGACAGGGATTTGTTCAAGTGTTTGCCGTGCAGTATGGCCAACTCTGAATTGATCCCCAGCATCATCTATGGTACCTCAAGTTCTGCCAGGGTTCACTCCTGAGTACTGAGCCAGGAATAGCCCCTGAACAACGGGGTATTTCGCTCCCCTGGGCCCCTCCGCCTCCCAAGTTCAGAAAGTGAATACTAGTTCTATCCATATTAATAAAACTGCAGTTTAGGGGCTGGAGAGATAGGACAGCAGGTAGGGCACTTGCCTTGCACACTGCCTACCAGGGTTCATTACCTGGCAACCCATATGGATCCCCCAAGCATAGCTAGGAGTGATTCCTGAGTGCAGAGCCAGGAGTAAGCCCTGAGCATCACCAGGTGACCCAGAAACTTAAGTAAATCTGAGGTTTGTTCTCTGCCTAACATGTGCTGTTTCATTGATCCCTGTAACACCATAGTACAGCTTTTTGCTATTCCTGTTACAGTTGTGGAGAGTACTCTAATGTTAGAAACAGGATAACTACAAGTTTGGAACTAGCTATGCTGAATCCTGCTATCTTAGACCTAATAGGATTTGTTGCACACTATTTCTTTTTTGTTTTATTTACTTTTTTTTTCTACAACTGGCAGTACTCGGGGTTTACTCCTGGCTCTGTGCTTAGTCATCACTGCCAACAGGCTTGGGGGACCTTTTGGGGTGCCAGGGATCAAAACTGAGTTGGATGCTTGCAAGGCAAATGGCCTATGTGCTGTTCTATGTCTCTGGTCTCTGTATACTACTACTTCATAGGTTTTCTAGTTGAACCGGTTAAGCAGAGGCAAAATTTAGTGGTTTTTAACTTATGTTAAAAAGTGTAAGTAAAAAAACTATTAGAGGCAATAGTTTAAAGATTTGAGTTTCATTTGAATGCTTTTATGCATATAGATTTCATTTAACGATTTTGATAGTGTAAGTTTCAACAATTTTAATAACAATGTACATAATACTATTTGATAGTGTTCTCTGCTTATTATAATCACTTACATTCTAATAAGCGAGTTCAATGAGTCTTAGATATTCTTAGACATCATTGATGTAAGTCAGTTTTTATATACTAGAAATGTATTTGGAAAATTTGATTATTGGTCAAAGATAAAATTAAGATTCTTCCCAGGAATGATAATATTAGCATAAATGATAAGTGATTCTTTGGTGGGAAGTACATAAGATGTTCAATAAAATCTCTTCAACCTTTTTATAATTAGTAAATTGTAACAGTATTTTCTTTTCTTCCTTAGAACTTGTCCACTGAAGGAAGCTCTATTTTTTACTTTTTAATTTGTCCAGAAGTGATTTATTTTTAAAGAAAGTATGTCTCCTCTGAAGATACATGGTCCTATCAGAATTCGAAGTATGCAGACTGGTATAACGAAATGGAAAGAAGGGTCCTTTGAAATTGTGGAAAAAGAAAATAAAATCAGCTTAGTCGTTCACTACAATACTGGAGGAATTCCAAGGATATTTCAGGTACTACCAAATTTTGATTTGCAATAGATTTTGTGTCACATCCTTGATTGAGTATCTGTTCTCTGCTGTAATAAGTATCATGGTTGCCCTCCTCATTAATAGTTCTTGCTTATTTCCAAGCCTATTTTTGGTTTGTTTGGGATTATAATGGATGGATAGTCCCAGTTTGCTGTTTGTGGGTCACTTCAGACAGTCACTGGGGCACCATGCAGTGGTGGGAATTGAACTCAGGCCTCCCTCCCACACAGAAAGCATGTGTTCCAGCCCTTTGAACCATCTCCCCAGTCTGACACATATTTTTATGTGCCATTATGTTCAGTAGCATATTTGGTGGTGTGTTATAAAGAATGGAAAGTAGTCAGAATTATTGAAAGAAAAAGTGGTGGGAAGAAGGTGAGAAGAAATGAGTTTGGATATGTTCTAAGTGATTTTAAAATTCATATTGGAGGGACTGGAACGATAGCACAGTGGGTAGGGCGTTTGCACGTGGCTGACCCGGGTTTGATTCCCAGCATCCCATATGGTCCCCCGAGCACCGCCAGGGGTGATTCCTGAGTGCGTGAACCAGGAGTAACCCCTGTGCATCACTAGGTTCTTGCTTGTCCAAAAAGAAAAAACAATTCATATTGGAGGGTGCAAGATAGTATGGCAGGTAAGGCCTTGCATGTATCCAACCCAGGTTTGATCTCTGGCATCCCAAATGGTCCCCTGAGCACTGCTGTGAGTGGCCCAAAAACCATACGAACAAAAATTGCATTAGAGTTATTCCTTTTTGTTCATTGCTATGTAGTGTTAGCTTTTACTAGCACTTATTAGTGTTTCTAAAGCTGTCTGCTTTCTGACTTTGGGGCAGGGCATACCTGGTGATGCTCAAGGGTTACTCCTGGCTTACCTGCTAGTCTGGAATCACTTCTGACAGTTCTCAGGGGACTGTATGGGATGTTGGGGATCGAACCTGTTGGGCCTCATGCAAGACAGATACCCTACCCTTTGTAGTATCTCCAGTTGCTGTTTAAAAATTCCAAAAGAACACGATGATGCTGTGCCTCCAGCCTCATCTCGGCTCTAGACCCCTTTGCAGTCAAGCCTGCGTTTTTAACCACAGTATATACCAGGTGGGGACAGTGCTAAGGGCCAAGAATAAGAGTGGAGATTCTGTTCCCCTTGGTCTAGGAGGAACCAGATGACTTTCTCAGCGAAAAAGTACTTCACAGCTGCTGGGCCAGGGTACTAGCCAGAGAGGAGTGGCCCTGGTTCTGTCTGCGCCACTGCTGGGAGTGGCCCCTAAGCACCACTGCGGCAGCCCCCGAGAGCCAGAAAATGATGGCAGTTCCCAGGGACTGAGGTCGCCTGCAGAGGAGGGGGGTTTGTGCTCTGTGGCTGTGCAGGATAATTAGGAGTCTCCCAAACCCGGAGGGGCTAAAGGAGGGGACGATTTCTATACTTGAACCACAGACATTTGTAAGTGTTAAATTGCAATACAGGTGGCCAGGAGGTTATTTTAAATATATAGACAGTAGTGAGGTGGTGGCAGAAATAGAAACTGAAGAGCTTGCTAGGAGCCATTCTTGGGGTGTCTTGTCACTGTGAGTGAAACTTGGGTTCTAAGGAGCCAACACTCTCAACTTCAGATTCACTTTGGAGCTTGATAGGTGGTTTTACTTCAAGAGCTGATTTTTGGGGGTGAGGGCACACCTGGAACACCAGGGATCGAATCCGGGTAGGCCGCATGCAAGGTAGGTAGGTGCCTGACCCACTGTGCCGTCTCTCTGTTTTTTGGGTTTTTTTTTTTTTTCTTTTTCGGTCACACCCGGCGATGCACAGGGGTTACTCCTGGCTCATGCATTCAGGAATTACTTCTGGCGGTGCTCAGGGGACCCTATGGGCTGCTGGGAATCAAACCCGGGTCATCCGTGTGCAAGGCAAACGCCCTACCTGCTGTGCTAACCGCTCCAGCCCCTGTGCTGACTCTCTGGCCCATGTTGGTTTATTCTCTGAAAATTGCCAGAGCTCTATTCTTGTTAAAAATGTCCATTGAACTGGGGGAATAGTTCAGAGGGAAGAATACGGACTTTGAGTGTGGCAGCTCTTGTTCTCTCACTCGCTAGCACTACAAGGCCCCTGGGCACTACTGAGTATAGCCTTCCCCCCCCCCCAAAAAAAATGTTAACTTCCTTCTTCCAACTGTTCAGAAGCAGAGGAGAGGGTTTTGTCTTCAGTAAAAAGCAACTTAATAAACAATTGTTTGTGTCTGCTGAGAGACACAATTAGATAATAAAGATGCCTGAGGAGCAGGAATTCTGAATAATAAACTACAGTTTTCTCTCTTTAGGCTTGGGGAAACTTCAGCCAACAGAAAATAGAAGTTACTGTTTCGTACCACATAGCAGAGACCAGAAAAGTATAAGACAAGTTACTTTTTTAGTTATTTCTGGGGAGTCAAGAAATAAGAAATAATAGACTGAGAGTTACAGTGTTCAGAGTCTTTGCAGTTGAAGTTAAGTTAAATGAATAGATTTAAGACCATTGAAAGAGGGAAAGGGGGGCCCCTGAGAGATAGGGCACTCGCCCTGCATGTGGCAGAGCCTTTGATCCCTGCCACTCTGTTGGGTGCCCCATCATTGCCAAGAGTGCAGTCAGGAGTAAGCTCTCAGCTCCTCCAGGTGTGGCCCCAAATGTAACTCACGTGCAGGCTCTAGATTGCTTTTCCTGCACTGCCAGGTGTGCCCCTGCCCTGCACTACTGAAGTGGTCTCCACAGTATGTTACAAGGTGGGTGAAGAGGGATGTGTGACTCAGTGGGTTCAATTCCCAGAAAGGCAAAAAGTGTGTGTGTGTGTGGAGTGGGGTCGGGGAAACAGGTGGTTTTTTTTTTTTTTTTTTGGAAACAAGTATTTTTACATAGGTAAAGGTCCGGTTTGTATTTGAAGGGTTGGGTTCCTTTGAGGATTATAGTTTGTGTCGCTATAACCTTTTACTTTGAGCTACCTACAGCATTTATTTCTAAGATGCTCTACAAGTTTCTGTTTAAAGAAAATGAAAAAGGAAAAGCCTCTTGCTCTTGGTTTTCGGAACTGGCCATCATACAAGCATCTGACTCAGAACTGTTTCAGCTTCTAAAGGTTTATAACTTCAAACCTAGACCCTTTGTTTGGGCCGTGACTAGTCGTTATCACAGGCTCATACTTGCTCTGTGCTCAGGAGTTGCTCCTGGGTTGCTGGGATTGAACCCTGGTCTTCCGTGTGAGGAGCGTGTGCTCAGCCCTTTGAGCATCTCTCCAGATCAGCTTTTTTTTTTTTTTTAATGACTTCATAGTTGGAAATCTGTGGCTCTCTATTATCAAATCCAGAGTGCTGGGATTACTCTAAATGTAAGCTATCAGCATGTGTTTAACTCTCATACAGGTGAATTCTTTGATTTAAATACCCAAGAAATGGGAACTCACTGGTTCAAAAAATAGTACGGGGCAGATAAGAAATGGAACCTGCCAAGTATTATGTTTTGTTTTCGTTAGACAGCTCATACCTCTTTATCGTGTTTTAATAACAAGGCCGTTTTTTTGTGTTACTCAGCTAAGTCATAACATTAAAAATGTGGTGCTCCGACCCAGTGGAGCAAAGCAGAGCCGCCTGATGCTGACGCTGCAGGATAACAGCTTTTTGTCTATTGACAAAGTGCCGAGCAAGGATGCTGAGGAAATGAGATTGTTTCTAGACGCCGTCCATCAGAACAGACTCCATGGAGGTGAGTACTGGCGCGCTCCGATTCCACAATGGTTAAAAACGAATATATGTTACTACACTGTTGACCAGTGTCCCCAGTCAATACTGATGGAATGTCGTCAGCGGAATGATCAGAGATGGAGTCCAGCAGCACTGGAAAGGGTGGTCCACCATTAACAAGTGGAAGTGGGATTTATTTCAAGAATACAAGGTGGGGTTAAGATAGAAAAATCAGTATAATCAAACATTTGATAAAATTGATGATAAAAACTCTCAGAACTAAGACTCAGAGGAAACAGCCTCAGTTTAATAAAGGCTGCTCATGGGGGAAAAAAGAAAAATTCAGCTAACATACTCAATGATGAAGATTTGGAAGCTTTTTCTCCCCCCCACCCCCTTGGTTTTTGGGTGGCCCTAAAGGGAAAATATGTACTGTGCTGAGACAAGAGTATGATAAAGACTATAAAAATTCTTTGAGGGTCAGAGTGATAGTACAGCAGGAGGGTGTTTAGCTTACACACAGCCGACCCAGGTTCTATCCCCAGCATCCCATACGGTTCCCTGAGCACCACTAGGAGTAACTCCTGAGCATCACTGGGTGTGGCCCCCTCTGCCTCCAACCCCCCCCCAAAAAAAAAAATTCTTCGAAAATTTTAGTCCAGATAGAACAGTAAGTAAGTCTCTTTCCTAGGACCTAGCTGATCCAGGTTCAATACCCAGCATTGCTTATAGTCCCCTACATATCACCAGGAGTGATCCCTGAGCACAGAGTCAGGAGTAAGTCCTATATACCACTGGATATTGGGGGGCCCCATTACCAAAAAAAACAACTCTAAAACTTTGAAAAGTATAAAACTTAATGTGTGGCACTTCCAGTCAGTGGGCAAAGGTTGTACTTGAAGTTATTTGTAAATGGGATAGCAGCTAATTAAGAAGACAGTAAAGCTGTATCCTTATCTGAATAGACTCTGCATTCATCGTAAATTGTCAAAAAAACAAAATGGTAATGATATTATTAAAGGGCAAAGTGGATTTTGATATTTGGTGGAAAAGACCTTTCTGAGTTGGCATACAAAGCAGAGAATCAGAACAGGGGTTAAGGAGCTTGCCTTGCATGTGGCTGACCCAGGTTCTGTCCCTGGCACCACATCGTCTGCTGAGTACAGCAGGGAGTAGCCCCCAGCATTGGTGGTGCTGCTAAAAAATAATGGAAAACCAAAACCCCTGAATCAGTAAGGGAAAAGTGATTTAAAAGAAAAGGAAGAACATACTTAGCCAGATAAGTATGCTAATATCTGAAAAGTTACCTTTTTTTTGGGGGGGGGGTCACACCCGGCAATGCACACGGGTTACTCCTGACTCATGCACTCAGGAATTACTTTTGGCAGTGCTCGGGGGACCATATGGGATGCTGGGAATCGAACCCAGGTTGTTCGTGTGTAAGGCAAAATGTCCTATCCACTGTGCTATCACTCCAGCCCCTGAAGATTTACTTTCCAAAATAAGGAAAAAAATAGTAAGAAGAAGAGAAATGGACAAAGATCACTAGTAGGAAATTCGGGAAGAGAAATAACCCTTAAAAAGAAATTCTCAGATTGTGTGTGTGTGTGTGTGTGTGTGTATCAAGTGCTAATAACAAGTTAGTTTAAAATTGTACATTGGGGGTTCAGAATTATTGCAAACTGGGAGTATGCTTATGTTGCATGCGGCTGATGTAGGTCCTATACTTGGTACCCCATATGGTCCCCGAGCACTGCCAGGAATGATCCCTGAGCACAGCTGGGTATGGCCCCAAATCCAAAAAAATTAAATTGCACATCAAGAAAGGCCCTCCCGTTGATCGTCGATTTGCTCGAGCGGGCCCAGTAACGTCTCCATTGGAGACTTTGTTGTTACTGTGTCTGGCATATCGAATACTCTTGGTAGCTTGCCGGGCTCTCCGAGAGGGGCGGAGGAATCGAACTCGGGTCGGCCATGTTGGCCGCGTGTAAGGCGAACGCCCTACGCGCTGTGCTATCGCTCCAGCAGGATGTGAGGGCGATCTGGCTGTGACATCTATCACCCCATTGATCGCCAGGGTTGATTCGGCTGATTTGGCTGGCTAGGCGGGTGTCCCCTTCCTCCCTCACCGCTCCATGTGCGTCCCTCCTGAAGCTGCGCGCTCGGTCAAAGAGGACGGCCTTCCCCGATAGAGACGGACCGGTCTTCGGTCAAGGGTATACGAGTAGCTGCGCTCCCCTGCTAGAACCTCCAAATTGCACATCATATACAGGAAAACAGCACTGTTTACTCCAAGCAGTTAATCCTATAAAGTCATTTCATAAATGCACAAAGATAGTGCAAGGATGATTAGCTTAATTGGCAAATATTTTTAAACACTGGGCTGAAGAGATAGTAAAATGACTAAAACTCTTGCCTTGCAAGCAGCCAACCTGAGTTCAATCCCTGGCATACCAAATACTCCACAAGCCCCACCAGGAGTAATCCCTGAGCACAGAGCCAGGGATAGACCCTGAGCACAGCTAGGTATAGCTCCAAACAACTAATTGGGGGCCTATGCCCTGTAGTGGTTGGGGGTTAACTCCTGGTGCTTTGGGGTTATTCCTGGTGGTCCTTGGGGAGGGTCAGTGGTAGAGACTGACCCAGAGACTCTTGCATGCAGAGCGTGTGCTCTACCTATTACCTATCTCCAGCTCTGGTCCTGAGTTTTTCATGACAGGAGGCCCCTGAAGTAGTACTGAGTTCTGCTGGGCGACCATGGCTGAGTTCTCTCACACCTGCCTGCCAGTTTGGTGCTGATTCTCACAGCGCACCAAAGAGCAGTGCTTGGGCTTGAAGTGCTCCAGGGTCCCCATGAGCACAGAGCCAGGAGTGATCCTGAGCATCACCGGGTGTGACCCCGCCTCCCTCCCGAAAAATACAGGGGACTTTCTCGAATTGTTGTTTCAGGGTCAGGCCCAGTGCTTGGGGCTTCATCCAGGGCATTCAGGGGGTTCCTCCTGACAGTGCTGGGATTCATATCTCCATATGTAGAGTGCACACAAGTGCCTTTTGAGCTATCTACTTGGCCCCTCTAATATTTTCTCTTTACAATTGAAGTATTATTCTATTAAATGTTGTCAAAATTTTGCTTTTTGTTGAATGTGTTTTGCTTGAGATACTGGCTTTTTTTTTTTTTTTCATTTATTTTGGTTGTTTGGGCCACACCCAGTTGTGTTCAGAGCTTACTCCTGGTTCCTCTGCTCTGGCACCACCCCTGGTGGGTTCAGGGTGGTGTTGAGAGTTGAACCAGGCTCCCTACTCACTGTACATAGTGCTCTGGCTCCAGCTCTAAATTTGGGGGGAAAAAAGAAAGAAAGAAAATATATGTATTTTTTCACGAAACATTTGTTGCTATGCATTTGGATATTTTGGGGGTTTTTTCCTGCTTATGGCAAGTTATTTATGCATGATGATAATAATAATAATGGTAAAGTAACTATTAAAGTGATTTGGAAACTGTTTCTGTCACCAGCAATGAAATCTCAGGGATCTGGTAGTTTTGGAGCGATTCTGGGTAGCAGGACTTCACAGAAAGAAACCAACAGGCAGCTTTCCTACTCAGATAATCAGGTATGTTCATGTGAATCTCTTAAGCTTTTTAACAAAGTGAATGTCACAGATATTCTGTCAGGTACGGTATGAAGTAGAATTAAGTTGTAATATCTAACCTGGCATTTTACATGTATCTGACGTTAGCTACCTTCATCTCCAGCTATTTTTATGAAAAACGTTCTGCTTGAGCACATCTCCCCCTTCCTGTGCACAGTTCTGCAGTTTGACTTATGCTCAAGTACCTCATGGTGATTATCGTGAACTGCAGTGAGCGGGGTTGTAGAAATCATGCCTTGGGAGATAGGTTTGGGTTTGAGGTATATGCTGCTTACTAAGTGTACATCATGTTTCTTTAACCTTAGTCTGTAAAATTGAGGCACCATTAATATTTTAGGGGTTGTCCTTGGGTCGTGCATATAACCCACAACCATATACTAACACTTTGGTCATGTTTGTTCCTCCAAGATGTTTGTTGTTGCTACTTCTCTCATGCCTTTGGCTCTCTTTGATTTTACGAATTTTGCCCCTATGCTGCATGAGGCACACTGGTTGAGTCTTCTCTGTGCTTTGTGAACAGTCATATGCATATTATACAGCCAGCCACAGGACTCCCTGGTGCTATTACAGCCTCACAGACTCCTCTTTCATTTACAAAGGGAAGGTAGGCTCAAAGTAAGAGAAACTTTGCCACTCTTGACTGTTCTGTTTGGGTCATCAGGTGGTTATTCCATTTACTGGACTAATCGATGATTGCACTGCACTGTAGCACTGTCCTCCTGTTCATTGATTTGCTCGAGCGGGCACCAGTAACATCTCCATCATGAGACTTGTTGTTACTGTTTTTGGCATATCGAGTACACCATGGGGAGCTTGCCAGGCTCTGCCTTGCCGGCAGCATACTCAGTAGCTTGCCCGGCTCTCGAGGGTCGGAGTAATCGAACCCGGGTTGGCCGCATGCAAGGCAAATGCCCTACGCGCAGTGCTATTGCTCCAGCCTTACTCCTTTCGTAACTTATTTAGCACTTGACATTTTCTATCATATAAGTTCTTTGCATTGAAGACAGTAATGCTTTAGATAACTGTCCAGCAAAGAGTCTTTTTCTTCCTCTTCAAGCGATGATTAAGATCTCTTTTTCTCCCTCTCTCTCTCTCTCAGTAAGATGCCAGAGAATATCGCTAGGACCTCACAAGTGCAAGCAATTGTTCTGCCTCTGAGCTATAGCCCCAGCATGAGATTTTTTTATTAGTTCTTTTATAGACTTTTAAAAAGCATTTTTGGTTGTGTTTTGATTGCGGTATAATTAAAATACAGCAAATTGCAAGTAAATTATAAATGTGATGTCTTTTAGATGCTTATAAAGACATCATAATCAACCAGTGAACATAGCCATAATAACTGAAATATTTCCACATCCTCTTTTGTAATTCTTCCATCTTGTTTCCTCTCTGGCCTCTGTTCCTGAGTCGTGTCTTTGAGCATCTCTGGGTGTGCTTCAGTGGCCTCTGAGCACTGCTTGGTGGCCCTGGTGTGTCTGGCACACAGGCCCCAAGAAACACCACCTCAAGTCCTGGCGTTGAACCTCCAGCCTAGTTAGCTGAATTTCACTGGGAAAGCCTCTTCTGGTCACTGTGAATGCCCCACCCCACAAAAGGGGGACAGAATAGAATAGAAAGCAGTAAAGTATTATACACAGTATGGATAAATGTTATTCTGCAAGTTTCCTCATGCAGGGAAAGTGTCATACCCATTGTATTTTCTCTTCATCCCTTATTTTTAATTCTGGAAGTGATTTTTAATTCACTCACTTGGAAATAAATACAATTTTTAAAATAAACCATTTATCCTGACAATTCAGTGTTGGTCTTTTGGTTCTCCTTCCCCTCATTTTTAAGTCTTGAGAAAATTTGGAGTTATCTCCCATAGAGAGATCACTTAAAATCTCTTTTAAGATCTTTTAAGTCCAGGATTGAACCCAGGACTTCAAACATGTAAGACAAGAATTCTACCAACAAATTACATCCTCATTTTCTTCCCTAACTCTTCACCTCTGTCCAGTAACTCTTAGTGCTACATGTTGGTTTAAAAGTACTCTCTCTCGGCTGATAGGTTCTTGCAGTGTCCTTCGGGTAGATTGATTTTTGTCTTTGGACTGTATTTCACTCTCAGTTTTCTGACCATTACAAATATTTGTTTTATTTCTCCAAACCAGAGCTCACCCGCAGACTTACTTGAGGAACATGTGACTTGTCATTTAAGTTGTAGCAACCATTGTTGCTCCTTATTTTCATACCCATTTCCCTTATAATTTATTATAATTGAAATTAGATGCTTTCCCCTCTAAAATCTTATGAGATTCTTTTATTATTAAGTAATTTAAAGCAAGATTTCTCCATAAGTACACCACTGATGTACCATGATACCAAGAGTAGCACAGCACCTTTGATGGGGTGTAAAGTAGAAGAAAACCAATGTCAGTGGGGCTGGGGAGGAAAAAAAAATATATGTGTGTATATATATATATTTATATATTAGCACACAGGCTCAACCTTTTTTATTTTTTTTTAATTAGTGAAACACCATGAGGTACAGTTGTAGATTTACAAATTTTTGTGCTTGGGTTTCGTTTATACACTGATCAAATACCCATCCCTCCACCAGTGCCCATTTTCCACCACCATGGATAATATCCCTCCCCCCATCCCACCCATCCCACCCTGCCACTGTGGCAGGGCATTCCCCCCTGTTCTCTCTCCTTCTGGGTGTCGTGGTCAGCAAAAGAGGCATTGAGTGGCAAACATGTTCAGTCCATAGTCTACTTTCAGCCTGCATCTCCTCTCCTGGGAGTATCCTTCAAACACCCTTTATTTGGTGCTCCCTTCTCTATCTGAACTGCGCTTTCCCCTACAATACCCGGCTGGCCTCTAAGCTTTGGAGTAATCCTCCTGGTGTACAGGCTCAACCTTTAATAATATGCTAGTATCTCTTATATAAGGGCTTAATGGCTCCATAGTGAAATACAACAATCTTTACACACTTTCCTCTAAGGAAACTTTTTTAGATCATTTTTAGCAGATTATTCATAACAAACAATGCAAAAGAAATTATTTAGGTCCTGCTTTGGGGACAGGCTTTGGGGGGTTGGGGTGGAAACATTCAAAATATGGTGATGGAAAGGTGTAACGTTGGTGGGATTGGTGTTGGAATCTTAAATGTAATAAATTATTGTGAACAACTTCATAAAAATCAAATTAGAAAAAGATTTCTCCTTTCAGCCTCTGATTTTTTTTTTTTTTTTTTGCATGGAGGTATGAATGCACGGGGATAAACTTAGGGCCTCATAACTATAAAGCATGTACTCTACATACATTCTTTTTTGTTTTTGTTTTGTTTTGTTTGGGGGCTACACCCAGCAGTGCTCAGGGTTTGCGCCTATACTATCACTCCAGCCCTTGCAGACATTCTTGACTTGCTGTGTGACCAGTTTTTTTTTTCTTTTGGGGTGGGGCCACATCTGGTGTTACTCGGGTCACTCCTGATTCTGCACTTAGGGATTACTCCTGGCAGGACTCAGGAGGCCAAATGGGATGCAACCCTGGTCAGCCATGTGCAAGGCAGGTGCCCTACCCACTGTACAATCTCTCCAGATTTCTTGCTGTGCAGTTTTTTAAGTTTACAAGAGAAAATTTTACTAGAGTTTAAAAAGCAAAACAGGAAAATAAGTGTCAAGCTTGTTTTGTTATGCTGACGCTATATTGAAATCAGCTAAAATGCTTTTAAAAACGACTGCTAATTGGGCCTAAGTGGGCAGTGAGTTTTTTGTTTTTCATTTTTTTAATCCCTCACAAGAGAATTTGGGTCTAAAGTATTTCAACTTGAAGACTTAGCTGTGTTAAATTTTCTTACAGGCCTCTTCAAAAAGAGGAAGCTTGGAAACTAAAGATGATTCTCCGTTTCGGAAAGTGCTTGGGAACCCAGGTAGAGGGTCCATCAAGACTGCGGCAGGGAGTGGAATAACTGTCCCCAGGACGGTCCCCTCGTTGCCTTCTTTGACATCTACGTCAACACCTCTTAGGTCGGGGATTTTGGAAAACAGGTATGAGGGAGTTTATAGCTTAGTCATTAGCTCTATAGTCTGCTTGGGCATTTTAGAAAGAAAGATAATGTAAGGAAAAAATATTAAGATTGCCCACAAGTATGGAGAACGCTTTTGGCAATGTTTATAGTCTTGGTCTCCAAGTGTGTGTGTGTGTGTGTGTGTGTGTACAATTATATATATGTATATATACATTACGTATATATATATACACATGCATACACATATATATATTCCCCCCTTCCCCCTTCTCTCTAGGACCGAAAAGAGGAAAAGAGTGCTATCTTCTGGCTCAGAGTTGAACGAAGATTACCCTAAGGAAAATGATTCATCATCGTAAGCTTGCTTTTTTTTTTTTTTATGTTACTTTAGCGGGGCATTGTCCAGGCAGATGTTTAAGGGACTTGGGGCCAGTAGTCCCGGAGAGACTTGCTACAGGAGGATTCAGTGTGCAGGCACTCAGCCATGCAGTGCTGTCAGACCCGGGCATGTGGATGCTTTCCCTCCTGGAGGGATCATGTGGGTGCTGGGCGGAACACCTGGACCCTCTGCGTGCGCTGGCCCTTGAAATCATTTTCCCAGCCCCATTGTTCTAAGTTGTTTTAAAATACCTTTATGGTATCAGAAGATTTTTTTTTTTTTTCGCTTTTTGGGTCACACCCGGCGATGCACAGGGATTGCTCCTTGGCTCTGCACTCAGGAGTTACTCCTAGCAGTGCTTGGGAGACCGTATGGGATGCTGGGAATCAACTCGGGTTGGCTGCGTGCAAGGCAAAAGCCCTACCCGCTGTGCTATCTCTCCAGCCCCCAATGGTTTTTTTTTAAATGTTGATAATTACAGCCAAGTGAGAGATGAGGGAAGATGGTGTGCAGTTTATGGGAAGTCTAGAAGTAGGTGAGCAGAATTTATCATGTGTTATTATTCTCTTAAATATTATTGTCATTAAATTAGTACTGTTGTTAGTCAAAGCATGAACATTAAGAACTAGAGGGATTTTACAGCAGGTAAGGTCCTTGCCTGGCACATGGCTGACCCTGGACTAATCCTCAGTGCTCTCTATGATCCCCTAAGCACCACTAGGCGCGTGAATCCTGAGCACAGAGCCAGGAGTAGTCCTGAGCATTGGGCTTACTGTGCCACCCCAAAACAAACCAAAAATAAGTATTAGAATTTCTCTGAATGGACCTCTGTTTTACACAGGTTCAGATACTTAGGAATAATGGTGTAGGCCAGTGGGGCTTTCTTTAAAAGTTTTTAATTTGTCTTCATGGATTTAAATACCTTAAGCACTGTATTAAAACAATCTTCACATTTAATAGAGCGTATTTAAATTCAGAGCTGGAGCAAGTACAGCAGTAAGACACCTGCCTTGCACACGGCTCACCTGAGTTCAATCTCCAGACCACAAAGAGCGCCACTGGGTGTGCTCCAGAACAAAACCAAAAACCCTGTAGGTGATTAAACCGTTTAGAGGTTGGCAAGATAACTCAGAGGACTGGAGTGCGTGTATTGTATGCTGGAGCCCACAGGTTGATCTCCTGCATCTTCCGGTCCCCAGCAGCCCTGGGCTAACGTCACCTGCGCCGACACTGTCTGGTCCAGAGACAAACCAAAAAAGAAAAAAGATTTTGAGTTTTGCTTATTGGGTTTAATTTTAAACCTATATGGTGTAAAGTCCAAGGAGTTCTTATTTGAGTCTTTCAGTAGTTGAATCACTTGAATCTGGTGATTTTTTTTTTAACTAAGAAATTCTGCTTAATCTTGATGTCTTTTGTTTCCCCTTTATATAAAGAAAGTATATCCTTTGTTTTATTACTAAGACCATGGGTTCAGTTTGCTCTTAAGTTTATGTTCATCACTCGATTGAACTGAGAAGATAGTATAGCTGGTAGGGCGCTTTGCCTGTGTGCTGCTGTCCTGGATTAGATCCCTGGCACCCCTCATGGTCCCCCAAACCCTGCTAGGAGTGATCCCTGAGTGCAGAGGTAGACGTAACCCCTGAGCATCGCTGGGTTTGGCCCCAAAGAAAACTTTTATTTATAGGTAAATAAAATTATTTTCATCATTCTTATTTGCTTAATTAAATTGCTGGTCATTTGAGACTTGTAGCCTAACTTTGGAAGCAAAGCAATAAATTCAGTACTTTAGATCTTTTTTATTTGTTTTGTTTTGGGGTTCCTGAAACAAGTTTTTTTTTAAATATTTTATATTTATTTACTTATTTGCTTTTTGGATCACACCCAGTGTTGCACAGGGGTTACTCCTGGCTCTGCACTCAGGAATTACTCCTGGCGGTGCTCAGGGGACCATATGGGATGCTGGGAATCGAAGCCAGGTCGGACATATGCAAGGCAAACACCCTACCCGCTGTGCTATCTCTTCAGCCCCTAAAACAAGTCTTAATGGCATTATTTGAAATGAAAATGTCAACACCATCATAAGTAAATTACCTTAACTATAGTATACTGTTCATAATATATTTTTAATCAAAAAATGAAAGAGCTACATATTTATTCTCCTATTTATGTTGAATTGAACTGTTACTTTAAGGAACAATAAAGCTATGACAGATTCCTCAAGAAAATATCTAACCAGCAGCAGAGAGAAACAGTTGAGTTTGAAACAGTCAGAAGAGAATAGAACATCAGGTAAGTATTTTATCTTTATATATGATACTCATTTAGTTTATGTTGATTATATTCGACTAGAAATAAAATCCTAGGCTGGAACATAGCTCTGTTTTATTCAAGAGTACCTCATGATTTGTGACTAATTAATGAGCACTGGTATGTGCCCATTATTCAGTTAAAATATTGTAATGTGTAGGTCAGGCAGAGTACAGTAGTAGTTTTTTAGCTTTTTGGGTCATACCTGGCGATCTTCAGGGGTTACTCCTGGTTCTGCACTCAGAAATTACTCCAGTTCTTGGGGGACCGTATGGGATGCTGGGGATTAAACCTGGGTCAGCCCATGCTAGGCAAATGCCCTACCCACTGTACTATCACTCCGGCCCCCAAGAATGGGGCCTTGCTATTATAGTTTTTTCCTACAGTATCTAATCTTTTAATGTGCTTGTATATATTGCCTTGATGCAAGGAAAAGAGAATAGGAATGTTTTTTTTAAATAGTATAGAATTTTATTACCAACTGGATTTGACGGCCTGATTTTGGAACTGTTTCATGTCTCTGTTTGGTCGTAGGGCTTTTACCTTTGCAGTCATCATCCTTCTATGGCAGCAGGGTAGGATCCAAGGACTACTCTTCCGGCAGCTCTACCCTAGACAGGTATGCTTGAAGGTTATGTGCAGAGACACTCTCACATGGATTCACTCTCACTGATGACGAAAGTGGGAGGCTATCTGTTATGTCTGAAAGATCGAAACTGGTGAGATTCCTGGACTTGTGACTTTATAGTCAGCACTCTGTCACTGTCACTGTCACTGTCCTCCCGTTGTTCGTCGATTTGCTCGAGCGGACCTAGTAACGTCTCCATTGTGACACTTGTTACTGTGTTTGGCATATCGAATACGTCATGGGTAGCTTGCCAGGCTTTGCCATGCAGGCCTCTAGGAATGTTTTAGTTCAAGCCCATTTTAATATCTTTAACTCTTTGTACATGTAGAAGTCACTAAATTTGTCCTGGGCCACCAGTTGTGACTGTCAGGAAGATCAAATTCCAGACCTGTGTATTTTCCATCCTAAACAATGAACTTTTTTTAAAATTTTTTTTATTTTCATAAAGTTGTTCACAATAATTGATTAATATTCTATATTTCAACACCAATACCAATCCCACCACCATTGTTTCAAAATTTTCTACTACCACTCAAGCCTGCCCCACAGGCAGATGCTAGGTAATTTATTCTGTATTGCTTGTTATGAATAGTATAAGATGTCTGTAAGGATCTAGCTCACAGTGATTTAACAAAAAAAGCAAAAAAAAAACCCATAGTATGAGATACCGTGTGGCCGCCTTTGCAGCTGCGTGTTCCTGGGATCATAAAAATTTAGATAATTGGGGTCCAGAGCCATCCCTGCATCAAGCTGCTCTATTCTAAGATTCCTTTGTGAGTCTCTGAATCATGGCCGTTAATGTGCTTAAATAGCACCCGGAGGCAGTTCATGGGCATGACAGCCGGGGCCCCGGCAGGGCAGGGGAGATGGGAAGGGGCAGCTCAGTTCCAACCCCTTGAGGCCTGGCATTTTCAGTCACTAGTCCTACATACCTGGGTGTTTCAGTGAATTTAGACCCTTGCATGGGGGACCCAGGACAAGTCTGTGAAGGTTGGCCGTGAGGGTGGTGGCGATGGGTTTCTGGAAGTTTGGGGCTGCTGGGGTTCATCTGGTGCAGGCGGAGAGAGAGAGAGAGCGCGCCTGCTCCCATCTGAGGTGCCCCGGTGAAATCAGCCTGGCGCATGGTCTGGTGCCATCCCTGCAGCAAGCTGCTCGGTTCCGAGATTCATTTGTGAGTCCGATGAATATCTTTCTTACTGGGGCAGTACATCCTGAAATTGTAGCCTAGTGAGGAATATGTTACAGTATCTCCTATGCAGAATTTAAAAATTGGTTTTGTTGTTTATCATTTCGGCTGCTGTGGAGCAGGGAGTTGATTTGCACCCCTCCCCCCACTCCCCCAGCATTGCTCAGGGCTTATTCTTTTTCCTTGGCTCTGCATTCAGGCAGCACTCCTGGTGCTCAAGGGATCATAAGTAATGCCGGGGATTGGTCCTGGGCTGCACACATGCAAGCCTTGCCCACTCTACTATATCTCCAGCTCCAGGGATCACTCATATCTGAGTTAAATATAAACCTAACTAAATTTTCAGGCAGGTTTGTTTGGGGGCCACATCTGGTGGTGCTCAAGACTTACTCCTATTTCTGGTCTCAAAGATAATCTTGGCAAGCTGGGGGGACCAGATGGGATGACAGAGATCAAACTTTTGTGTTGGCCACTGTAGAGCTAGGGCTCTATCCACTATACATCGCTCTGGCCCCAAACTTACCAAAATTTTAAGTGTAAGAGAAAGGTTTTTTTTTTTTTCTTTTTGGGTCACACCTGGCGATGCACAGGGGTTACTCCTGGCTCTGCACTCAGAAGTTACTCCTGGCGGTGCTCAGAGGACCATATGGGATGCTGGGAATCGAACCCGGGTCGGCCGCGTGCAAGGCAAATGCCCTACCTGCTGTGCTATCTCTCCAGCCCCAAGAGAAAAAAATCTTGTCTGTGTTAATTAAAAGACTATGTGAAGATGCCAAAGTTTTTCACTTAAGGATAGAAGAGAAGCAAACAGAATATTTATTAGTCAAGTTGTGATGTTTAATAGTGATAGTATATGATAAAATTGATAGAAAATGATTGAAATGATTTTAGAATAGAGTAATAAGATTGTGATCGACATGGGCACTTGGCTATATTAATAGGATTGTTGGCATAGGTGTTTACTTTATTAGATTTTGTTAATTTCCCCTTTTTTGTTTTTATTTTGGGCCACACCCTGTCATGCTCAAGGTTTATTCCCGGCTTTGTGCTCTGGTATCTCTCCTGTTGGGTCCAAGGTTTGAACCTAAGTTGGCAGGTACAAGGCAGACGCCCTATCCGCTTTCCTACCACTCTGGTCCCAGTTTAGAATTTTTTTTGCCCTAGACACTTTTAAAATTACAAGGAGAAAAAAGAAAGTATTCAGATTGTTTTTTGTAGCTTACCTTATTTTCCTTTTCTCTAGGACTAACGTTTCCAGCCAAACTCCCTCGGCCAAAAGAAGTTTGGGGTTTCTTCCTCAGCCGTCTCCGCTCTCTGTGAAGAAGCTGCGGTGTAACCAGGATTACACTGGCTGGAACAAACCCAGAGTACCCCTTTCTTCTCACCAACAGCAACAACTACAGGGGTAGGGAGAGTTTTTTATTTTGCCTTCTTTTTATAAAGCCATTCTGTAGCAGTGTGTTTTGTTAGATTTGCTAATAGTGATGAAAGGAGTCACGTTGTAATTATACATTATTTGGTCACCTTCTGTCTTACATCACTGAGTTCGTTATCTGACCTCCAAATGTATTTTTGAACTCTGAAAAATGAAATATTTTGTTCATTTTTGGGACCATACCCAGTGATGGTCAGGCAGGGCTTACTCCTGGCTCTGCATTCAGAGTTAATTTCCAATGGGATTTAGGAGACCATTTGGGGTTCTGGAGATAGAACCCTGGTTAACTGTCCAAGGCAAGCGCTTTACCCACTTGTACTATCTTTCTAGCACCCCTGTGGAATCTTTTATAAGCTGAAATGTCATTTTTCCCAAACCCCAAACATGACCAAGTTATACCCAACTCATAACCGTAAAATAATGCTAGCCTGTAGGAAAACAGGGATGATGTGAGTACACAGCCTGTATAAAGGCCTTCCCCAAGAAGGAGCCTTGGAGGGGGGTGGGGGGAGTTAGTCTCACTGCTCACTGCAGAACACGCTGGACACTGTTTGTTTCTGGGTTTTTTTGTTGTTGTTGTTGTTTTCGGCTATAAAAATGAAAATTCTCTTTGGATTTATTTTCATCATCAAAAACAGTATAGTGGTCAAATATAAACCTTTGTAAAGGATAGGAGAGAGGTGGGTCAGAGCTGTTCATCATAAACAAAACATGCCTGTCTCAGCCCCAGCCACTTCATCCCACTCCTCATATTTCTCCTGTTCACGGACATCCTTCCCAACCCCTTCATGTCTGCATTTTTATCAAAACACACACAATTGACATCAGAACACGTGCAGATGTGTTCCTCGTTTTGCTTTCAATCTGGAAGACAGTGATTGGGAACAAGAAACTGAAGAGATTGCATAAAAGCTCATATGTAGGAGCAGAAGACATAGATATAATAGAGAAGAAATCACTCTGGGGAAGAAATGATTCAATATTAATCACCAAAATTAGAAATGAAAGGAAAGGAGACGAACATGAAGTGCTGAGATATTCGCTAAACCTACAGAAGTGTCCTGCTTGAATGGAGTGCCTGTCTGCCAGACAGGAATATTAAACAGCTGCCACATCTAGGAAGACTTTAAATGTAAAACATGAATCCAGAGATTTAGTCCAAGGCTGGGGAAATAGTCCAGTGGGTAAGGCATGGCCAACCTGGGTTCAGTATCTGGCACTTAGACACCGCCCGGAGTGATTCCCAAGTGCCCAGCCCAGAGTAAGCCCCAAACACCACCAGGTGTAGTGAAAAGCAAAACAAAAATTTCACTCCAATATAAACCAAGTTGATTTAGTTGTTTTTTTTTTTTAAGTGCTCGAGCGGGCCCAGTAACGTCTCCATTGAAGACTTTGTTGTTACTGTGTCTGGCATACCGAATACTCTCGGTAGCTTGCCGGGCTCTCCGAGAGGGGCGGAGGAATCGAACTCGGGTCGGCCATGTTGGCCGCGTGTAAGGCGAACACCCTACCTGCTGTGCTAAGTGAAGCAAGATAATTTTTTTTGAATGAAATGTACTTAGATGTGAATGGAGAGAAAGAGAGAAAGTAATGTGTTCAAAAGAGAACATGGGCTTAAGGAGCAATCTTGATTTTACAAGATTACAAGCCAGTAAAAAAAAAAAATTGGTGTACAACTGCAAGAAAACTACTGCACAACACTAAGAACAATGAAATCTGCTATAATGAAATGTGTGGTGATAGATTTGGGGAAAAAAAAAAAGACCAGGGGATTCCAAAGTCAAGACTTCAGGCAAGAATCAAAATGAATCAGCAAGAAATGACAATAGTTTTGTCCTGGGAAAAGATAAAAGAAGAGAACATCATACTGGAAGTTGAGTTGAAAGTATAGGTCCCTGTGTTCTGGGGATGTCACGCTGTGGCAGAACACTTGCCTTGCATATGTGAGGCTGGGCTTTGATCCCTGGCACAGCAGAAGCAGAAGCAAACCAAAGCAATTCTAAGTTCTAGATTCTGAAGGGAAGGTAAGTTCAAATAAAATTTTGCCGAGGGGCTTTGAAGGAGAACGGAGCAGCCAGGATGGGGGGGATGTGACAAAGTGAAGCGGAGGGTGAGCTCAGCAGCAAAAAATATATGTGCCTTACAAGGGTGAGGTCCTGAGATTTATCCACACACTCTGAGCCTGGGGTCCCCGGCAATAGTGTCCAGTCTCCCACACACGGCTAGGTGCATGTGACCACCTCAGGTACAGATGTGTGTGCACCAAAGGCCAGAAATACGGCCCCTGGCAAGCACGGTGGTGGGGATGTGCTTGGGCACCGCCCTAGGAGAATGGGACTCTGTAAATAGGTGCTCACATCCCAACTGAAAATGGCCTCTGGTGAGCAGTGGGACTGACAGTGGGCTGTGAGCACCACAACCAAGCAGTTGTGTGGGCCCTGCTTAATGCAGCAAAGAGTGGGGCCGGAGAGATAGCACAGTAGACTGAGCACATGCTCTGCTCACGGAAGTTCAGTGCCTCGTGGGCGTTTGAGCACTGCTGGGAGCATCCCCCAAACACTGAGCTCGGAGTGTGGTCACAAGCACCAACAAGTATGACCCCCCAAAACAAAAAGGTTGATTACAGAAAATGCCTCAACTGAAAAGCAGGTGAAGAACGTCCATTTTCATGTAATTTGAGTCCCTGGAGCATAAAATCCAAGCAGTAAAGTAGTAGTTATAACCATAATCCACGACAAGCTATTAGAAATAGAATCCTGAATTTATCCATTTAAAAGGATCCCCCAAGGATGGGGGAGATTTCAAAGGGTTAGTGTCATGCTTAGAGGCCCATTTATACCAGTGATGTCAGGTATAAAGGGCAGAGTAAGTAATATAAAGTGGACGTACTCGGAATACTGTATTCATCTGTTCTTTTTAGGACTGTAGCACTCCATTTGATAGAGAGGTAAGTATTGTAGAAAGAAATGGAGAGTACTTCATACATTCAGCTGTAGAGCCAAATAAAACTGAATGATGAGAACAGCCGTGCAAGCATGGTGTAGTAAGCATGCCTGTTGATAAAGGAATGTGATTGCAAATGCAGGAAATGTGAAGGAGAAGGGGAGAAGTAAAGTATCAGGCTTCGCAGTTGCATATGAGATAGGTGTGGTTAATCATTAGGGAACTGCAAATCAAAATGACAGGGAACCTCACACCAGCGGTAATAGCATGGGTCAAAAAAAGACTGGAAACCATGCCCAGGAGATAAGGCAGCGGGGAAGGGGCTTGCGTTGCGTTCAGCTCACCTGGGTTCAATCCCCAATACTGCATATGGGCCCTAGAGCACCACCAGGAGTGGTCTCTGGCTCCAGAGCCAGGGAGTAATTCTGAGCTCTTCCACCCAGAGCCAAAACCACAAAGAGTATTTCAAAGAGACACACTAGATCAGAGGTTCGCAGGTTAAGCTGGAGAGACTGTGCAGGGGTTAAGGTGATTGTCCTACATCCTGCTGACCTGGTCCACCATTCAAATCTCTGGCACTGTATACGGTCCCCTGAGTACTGCGGGATGTGGCCCAATACAGAATTAAAAGAAAAATTTTCCCCAATTTTTTGTTTTGCTTATTGTTCCCTGTTGCAGAAAAATAAGATTCAGTGCTTCCCTTTGAAATTCACTTTCTTTAAGCCAAACACTCAGAAAGTGCCCCCCAGTATGCATTCCAGCTACTACCATCTTTCTGCATCCATCTGGAGCCATTTACTGGCAAGTAAATGGGAGGACCGTGATAGTGATAGACCGTGAACTAAACAGATAAGTAAAACTATAGCAAGTAAAAAAGTAATGTGATTTAGAGTTGAGTTCTGCTATTTTGGTCACATTGAGAAATGTAACAAATGGAATACAAGTAACGGTATTGGGTGGAAGGATATAGCATAGCTGGTCGGGTGCTTGCCCTTGCATAGGGCTGACCCACATTCAAGCCCAGCACCACATATGGTCCCCAAAATGGGCCAGCAGTGAACCCTGAGCACAGAGCCATGAGTTAGCCCTCGGTATTGCCAGGTGTGCCCCCCAAAACAAAACAAAAATAATAAAGGAGCAGCTTTCCCAGTTCAGCGGGAATAGCAAGAAAAGAATATTCAGAGGGCTAAGTTGCATGTGTGGGGCCCATAGTTATCCCTGGCATCACGTGACCCTGGTGGCACCCCAGACACTCCCATAATTGCTGTGCCTGTTTTCAACCTGTCCGATTTGCACCTTAGCCTCAGTGTCATCAGGAATGATCCCTGGATCCACAGGCTCCCAAATAAGTCTCCAATTTAAAACCTGGGAAAACAAGATATCAGTGAAGTGACTGAGTTCTCTAATACTGAAAATCAAAATTATCACATCTCTTTTTTTACCAGAATTGTGGAAAACAAGTCTACAGCAAACAAGCATTGATTTAAGAAAAAACTCTCTCTGGGGTGGGTGCTACAGCTGGCAGCGCTCAGAACTTACTCCTGACTCTGAACTCAGGAATCACTCCTGGTGGTGCTTGGGGGACCATATGGGGCCAGGGATTGAGCCCTGGTTGGCCAAGTACAAGGCAAGCACCTTACCTGTTGTACTCTCTCCAGCGCCAAGAGAAAGTCCAATTTTAGATGATAGAAATCTCCTGTAAATATTGGGGAATTTTGAAAAGTACATGTCCAAAACAAGTTAAAAGATATATCTTAGAGTTGAGTGATACAATACAGTGGTGCACCCCCCCCCAATTCCCCCCCAAAAAAGGTTTTGAATGTGTTATCTTCACGGCCAGGAATATTGCCCCATAGTTGGAAGCCTGCCTCATGAGCTGGGGGGAAAGGCAGCTGGAATAGAGAAGGGATTACCAAGACAGTGATGGTTGGAGGAATCCTTCAGGATGGGAGATGTGTGCTGAAAGTAGATAAAGGATAACCTCTCAGTATCTGTATTACAAATGATAATGCCCCAAAGTAGAACGAGAGCGTATGGGGGGAAATGTCTGCCATGGAGGCGGGGGGAGGGGGTGCGGAACGTGGGGTTATACTGGGGACATTGGCGGTGGAGAATGTGCACTGGTGGTGGGATGGGTGTTTGATCATTGTATGATTGACACTCAAACATGAAAGCTTGTAACTGTATCTCATGGTGAATCAATTAAAATAAATAAATAAAAATGAGAAGTTAAAAAAAATTATCAGAACCTGGGGGGCGGTTGTTATTTTCCTTGAAGTGAAATTAAGTTGCAAAGTTATACATTTGTGCTTTTTTTTATTTCATTTTACAAGTTGTTCACAATAATTTATTACTTTCAATATTCCAACCCCAATCCCTCCTTCCCAGCACCATTATTTTTACTTTTCCCACCACCACACCCCATCCAGTGTGATATGTTACTCTTGGTATATCAGTGATGTAGAGTAGGAGATGTTGCGGCCATGTGCTCAAGGAATTACAAAATTTTAAATAGAGTGATACAGCTGGAGTTAAATTTTTAACTGGATGGTGACTCTGGCGGCTGGAGGCATCTCTGCAGCTTGTGGCTCTCTTCCAAGATTTATTTGTGATTCTCTGGATCATGGCCATTAACGAGCTTATATGGCGCCAGAAGCAGTTCATGGGTGTAACTGCCAGGCTCTCGGAAGAACAGGGAGATGGGGGGAGGTCACCCATTCCCGACTTCTGAGAGCCTGGAGAGATCGGGCACACAACCCGTATGCCTGAGTTTTTCAGCAGATTCATTCTCATGGATGAGGCTAGACCCAAATCTGTGGAGATCTGCTGTGAGCACGGCGGCAATCTGGTTCTGGAGGTTTTTGGCTGCCGGGGCTATGTTTGTTGCTTTGGTGGTGGGCTCACCCACCCGCCTCCAGGGGGCTTCAGATGAGAATCAGCCTGGCACAGAATCTGGAAGCATCTTTGCAGCCATGCATTGGTTCTTACTGGGCGTTCCCCGAACCAGCAGCAGCAGCAGCTGGAATCCAGTTTAAAATGCACATTTTTGTACCTCCCTCCCCATGCACGTGTGGGGTCAGAAATTAGTTGGGTTGTTAGCAGCACATATTACACCAACCCCCCCCCCCCCAGGTGATGCCTGGTGTTTGCTGTAGTGAGGACCCCCTGCTGTAGTGGACGGATTACCAGGACCTACCATTGTCTTCAAAAGTACTGTTTCTTTCATTTCAGCTTCTCCAATTTGGGAAATACCTGCTATATGAATGCTATTTTACAGTCTCTGTTTTCGCTGCAGTCATTTGCAAATGACTTGCTTAAACAAGGTATCCCATGGAAGAAGATTCCACTCAATGCACTTATCAGGTAATTGTTCCGAACATGGTGGATAACCCTTTAATTTATTAATTGTAGACTAACGAAGTTTTCTTTAAAATACCATTTTCCGATGTTTTGTGAAACAAACCAGTGTTTTTACTTTCACCAGACGCTTTGCACACTTGCTTGTTAAAAAAGATATCTGTAATTCAGAGACCAAAAAAGATTTACTCAAGAAAGTTAAAAATGCCATTTCAGCTACAGCAGAGAGATTCTCTGGTTATATGCAGAATGTAAGTACTGTTTTTAAATACTTTAGAGATAGGGGAAATGGTTTCAGTGTATTGCTTGATTTTTTTTTTTTAACGTGGTTGGGTATATGTGTGTTGATTTGAAATACTAGAGCACTTAACAGATTCAAGATGACTTTTCTGTGCATATTATCAGGTTTTAATAATTTGATTTACTGGGCTGGAGCAGTAGTACAGCAGGTAGGATATGTGCCTTGCATGCATTTGCCCCAGGGTCAGTCCTCAGCACCACATTTGTCCCTTGAGCACCATGAGGACTGTTGGCTGAATGATGAGAGCCAGCCAGGAGTAAGCTCCAAACACTACTGGGCGTGGCCCTAAAGCATAAATAAGTGATTTGCTGTCGCAGGAACTTGGATTGTTTTTAGATATAATAGCTATTTAAAATATTTTTTATTTTTAAATTTTATTTTCATAAGGTTGTTCACATTAATTGATTACATTTACATTCGATGTATTAATACCAATCCCACCACCATTAAACCAATTACCTACCACCATTCAAGCCTGCCTGTTATAGGCAGATTCTAGATCATTTATTTTCTGTTGCTTATTACGAATATAATGAGAGGTCGATTGGCGCTGAAAGCAGCTGGGCAAATCTAAATAAATGATTGGGGTCCAGAGACATCTTTGTAGGGAGCTAATCCATTTTGAGATGCACTTGTGAGTCTCTGGATCAAGGCCCGGTGGCTTGCTTAAATATGGCCCAGAGGCAGTGGGCGTGACAGTAGGGACCCCAAAGGGGCAGGGAGACAGGGGAAGGGATGATACAGTAGCTATTTTAGAAAAACTTTCTCTTGTCTTTTTTTTCCTATCCAGCAGTGCTGGGGAAAGGGGGGGGGCAGGGTGTCATTCTCCACCCCCTTACACACACAGCTCATTTCCAATAGTATTCCAGATCAACATGAGGCCAGGGATTGAATCCATTGCCTCCCACAAAGGCAGCGAAGGCACTTCTCTCTCTCTGGCTCTCCAAATAACTTTTTTGAAAAGCAAAAAGTCATGTGTGATTGATTGATTTATTCTTTCCTGCGCATGTGTTGTCTGATAGTGTTGGGAAGATCCCGGAGCGGGCGGGGTTTACACCTTGCTAGTGGGAACCACAAGGCTCATCCCTGGCATCTCGTGCTTCCCCCAGCACCACTGAGTGTGGCCCCCTACAAAGATTCTCTGTCGTTTATATTTATTCTCAAGATTCACTCTTCAGAACCGTAACAGTGAGTCTGTTCTCCAGCGTGCTGTTGACTTCTGAGCGCTGTGCTTGGGTAAATCAGTGCGGTGTGCTGCCAGAAGGGATGTTTGGATCTGATTCAGAATGTCATGCTTTTCTCAGGATGCTCATGAATTTTTAAGTCAGTGCTTAGATCAGCTAAAAGAGGATATGGAAAAATTGAATAAAACTTGGAAGACTGAATCTATCCCTGGTGAAGAAAATTCTCCAGATGTTTCAGCCACCAGAGTGTATACGTGCCCTGTTATTACCAATTTGGAATTTGAGGTTCAGCATTCCATTATCTGCAAAGCGTAAGTAGCTTGTAGAAAATTCTTTTCCCTTCCATTTATTTTTGATGGGTGTATAATTCTTCAGGGAAGTTCTAGTTCCGATCTTCTTGTATTCTGGAGCAATGTATAAATACGTATTTTCTGTAAAACTAAGTAATGGGTGAAAGCCAGCTAGTCACGTGTAGCAAGGAAGGTCTGATCTTACAGTGAGGTTCAAAGCGGCAAATTTAAAAAATGAAGAAGAAAATAAATAAATAAATAAATAATGAAGAAGACTCAAAAAGACACAGAACGATTAATCGGGATGTTAGTTACTGTGTGTTTTCAAAAGGTCCGGCGGCACTCTGTCTCTCCCGCCGCCCGCGTTCAGTAGTCTTAGCTGCTTCCCCCACCCCGGGGAGGTCAATGGTGATGGGCAGGAAAAGGAAGGAACGAGGGCCAGGCTGGTCGGTATCAATTGTAGTTTATTCCAGTCTTCAGTCTCACCTCTGACTCTGCCCTCTTGAGCCCAAGCCCCCTCTGAGCTTACAGTCTTAGTTTATATAGCAATCACATAGGGTGGTGACACAAAGGTGGGTTGAACCGGGGGCTGGAGCAATAGCACAGCGGGTAGGGCGTTTGCCTTGCACAGGCGACCCGGGTTTGATCCAGCATCCCATATGGTCTCCTGAGCATGACCAGGAGTGATTCCTGAGTGCAGAGCCAGGAGTAACCCCTGAGCATCTGCTGGGTGTGACCCAAAAAGAAAAAAAAAAGGTGGGTTGAACCTTAACAAATCAGCAAAGAGAGGTAAGACCACTCATCGAGGAGATTAACTCAAGGATAAAATCTCATCTAGGAAGCCTTAAGCATAAGAGAAAGAACACATGGAGGGTGCGGGATCCCGGAGGAAAAGAAAAAAGAAAAAACAGGTTCCAAAAAGAGCCGAGTTCACCCGCAAGTTCCAGATGGAGTAGGCGCCGCATCTCGCCTCCCCCAGATGGAACCCTGGTGACCAGAACCCTCTACAAACACAGCTCGAGTATGCGGGAACGAGGACTTTTTCTCAAATCTGCCGGACTACACCTCTCAGGTAACCTCTGATTCCGGAAGTCACGCCCACAGCCCGCCCCCCAGCGCCATCTTTGAAGCCTTAAGCATAAGAGAAAGAACACATGGAGGGTGCGGGATCCCGGAGGAAAAGAAAAAAGAAAAAACCGCGCGACATCTCTCTATATACAAAGTGATCAATGAGAAGTAAACCACCCAATCTTTCTCCCTGAAAGTCAGAGTTCTGGCCACAGCCCCAGAAACACAAGGACTTAATGCAGAACCCAGCAGCTTAGAGCAGAAAAGTGAAAGGACTATGCGTTAATCCAGGCCATCAAGTCTGCCGGAGGGGAAAGGGTGTTGCCCCATTCGCCCTCTCTTCTCTGGAAAGAAGGATGGCGGCCGCATGGGAGCCTTGTGGACAGCAGGTATGAGCCGGGGGTGTGGGGGCGATTAAAACCTCATGGGAAGGGGGGCGTTCCGGTCCGTCCTTCACGCCCTACCGAGGTCACCAGTTGCCCCCCACGAGCGGCTCTCCAGCACGGCCACAGCCCCAGAAGCACAAGGGCTTAATGCAGAACCCAGCAGCTTGGAGCAGAAAAGTGAAAGGACTATGCGTTAATCCAGGCAATCATTTCTGCCCAGAGGGGAAAGGGTGTTGCTCCCTTCCGCCCTCCTCCCTCTGGAAAGAAAGATGGCGGCCACATGGGAGCCTTGTGGACAGCAGGTATGAGCCGGGGGTGTGGGGGCGACTAAAACCTCATGGGAAGGGGGGCGTTCCGGTCCGTCCTTCACGCCCTACCGAGGTCACCAGTCACCCCCCACGAGCGGCTCTCCAGCACAGCCACGGCCCCAGAAGCACAAGGACTTAATGCAGAACCCAGCAGCTTGGAGCAGAAAAGTGAACGGACTATGCATTGACCCAGGCCATCAAGTCTGCCGGAGGGGAAAGGGTGTTGCCCCATTCGCCCTCTCCTCTCTGGAAAGAAAGATGGCGGCCACATGGGAGCCTTGTGGACAGCAGGTATGAGCCGGGGGAGTGGGGGCGACTAAAACCTCATGGGTCGGGGGGCGTTCCGGTCCGTCCTTCACGCCCTACCGAGGTCACAAGTCGCCCCCCGCGAGCGGCTCTCCAGCACGGCCATGGCCCCAGAAGCACAAGGACTTAATGCAGAACCCAGCAGCTTGGAGCAGAAAAGTGAACGGACTATGCGTTGATCCAGCCCATCAAGTCTGCCGGAGGGGAAAGGGTGTTGCCCCATTCGCCCTCTCCTCTCTGGAAAGAAAGATGGCAGCCACATGGGAGCCTTGTGGACAGCAGGTATGAGCCGGGAGTGTGGGGGCGACTAAAACCTCATGGGAAGGGGGGCGTTTCGCTCCGCCCTTCACGCCCTACCGAGGCCACCAGTTGCCCCCCACGAGCGGCTCTCCAGCACGGCCACGACTCCAGAACACAGAAACCAATTTCTTAACTATCTGACTTTCAGTAGAAATACTTCCAGGGTCAATAGGTAAAATAGCAGAAATCCAAAACCAACATTTAATTCTTGAACCCAGCTGTAGAAAGCAAATCACTTCACAATGCTTTTTCAGCATGTCTGATTTGGGGGGGGGGGGGGGAACTCTAAATAATAGTGGTGAATCTTTTATTGAAACAATCTAATCAAAGCGGATAGAGTGTTAACTAGAATTCATCTGCCTCACAGGGACGGGGAGGGGTGGGGGGTGGGGTTTTATTGGGGTTCTTCATGGGAGAAAATAAGTATTGGTAAAGGGAAATGTGTTTGATATTTGCATGACTGAGACATAAACCTGAAAGCTTTGTAACCTTTCCCACAGTGATTCAATAAATAAATTAAAAAAAAAAATCTCATCTAAAGAGATTATTCCAGATTACTAGGAGATCTGCTCAACGGTGGGATCCCAACAAGGGTGTGTTCTTTCCTCAGCTAGTAATCCACTTAAATAGTTGCAGTAAATCTAACATCCAATATCTCTAGCAATGTCACTCTGTATGAGCACAGTAAGAGATAAATTTACAGTTTGGTTCTTCCTGAGGACATCTCACTATATATTCCGCAGTCCTCAGGCCACGTTAGTCTTCCTAGCCCCAGCAGGGTCCTAGTCTCGTCGTCGTTACTTACTTACTTTTGGATCATGACCGCATTTGTCCATGATCATGCCCTCAACTTAGAGTTGAGTATCGTGGCGCTTTGACCTGGCCCATTTCGATGCCAGGGTAGCTCACAGCTTTCCCTGTGTCCATTCAGTCCCTCGTCGAGACCTTGCTTTTGGGGTGGTAGGAACTAAGGGCAACTGAGTCAAGAAAGCAGATGCCCAGGAGTAAATATTATTCAGAGTCAATCAACTCCCAAGTTACAAAGCATAATATAGCTGTCTTCCTGTGTCCATACAGAAAGGACATTGCTTTAAGGTAAACTATGCAAAAGACATTAACTTACAGTACAAGTTCAGTGTCCTTAGAAGGATCTGATCTCATGAGCTAACAGAATCTGATTAGGGAGAAAATGTGATTAACCACTGGGGAGGAGAGCACAGAGAAGAGTTTACAGATAAACAGAGGAATGGGAGTGACTAGGGAGCACTGCCATGGGTGTAACCCAATAAACCTAAGCTCCCTGTGGCAATGTTATTCTACAAGTTACCTTTTGGGAGGAAAAAATGGAAAAGGGCTTATGATGGGGCTTCTGGGAAGTTTGTATGTTCTGTTTCTTAATTTGAAAGTTTGTGTGTTGGTTCACTTTTACACTTTTTTTACACCTTATACTTTTGTCTGTTTTTAAATTTTGGGATTTTCTTGAAAATACAAAGTAGTGTTTAAAGTTTTTAAATGTGTATTTGGTGGTTCAGGGGTTGAATTTAGGGCTTCTTCACGTGTGCAGAGCAAGTGGTCTACCGCTGAGCTAGAGCCTTGGCCTGAAATTTTGGGGGATGATGGTAGAGGAAAGCAGACACTGGTGGACGGTTGGTGCTGCAAGTTTTCTCTAAGAAACCATACCAGTAGCAGTTTGGAAACCACGGCGCTTAAAATATCTTCAGTAAAATATTTTTCTAGTAGCTTAAAAAAATTAACTAAAAGTATAAGAACTTATAATTGTTACTAATAACGGTTAAATAAAGAGGTCTCATATTTGTTTTAAATTTGTTTTTCATGTCCGGTATAGTTTGTGAGCTCCTAGTAAATTTTGTGTCAGGGAGGTGGGGGTGTAGTATTTCTCAGTTTTATATTTTACACTGCACAGTTCAACTTCTCAGTGCTTACACTTGCTATTTGTTTTCTACAGTTGTGGAGAAATTATTCCCAAAAGAGAACAGTTTAATGACCTCTCCATAGATCTTCCTCGAAAGAAAAAACCACTTCCTCCTCGTTCCATTCAAGATTCCCTTGATCTTTTCTTTAGGGTAAATAATACTTGTGGTATTTTTGCATAATTGAATTTTATATATTAAATGTATTTGAAGTTGGTTTCTTTAAATCAGAGTTTGGAGAAAATTGCTTAGCAGGGAAAACAAAAAGATAGTAATGACTTTTTAAATCTTGATGAGTGTAATTGCAACTCATTAAAGACGTAACTGCTTACTTTGATTCAATATTCAAATCGTTTGCTGCAATATCCAGTGATTTTTGTTTTGGGATTTTTTTGTTGTTGTTGTTTGTTTTGGGGACACACTGCTGTGCTCAGGGCTTACTCCTGGCTCTCTACCTGAGAATCAGTGGGATGGGGCTGATCCTTGAGCAGAGCCAGGGCTGGGGTTCAGAGGACTGTCTGCAGTTCTGGGGATCAAACTCTGGTCAACTGCATACAAGGCAGGTGCCCTGCTGATTATACTTTCTCTTCACCCCTCATAGTCAGTGTTTTAAAAGACAGCATTAAAAATCGTTCCTTGGGCTGGAGTAAGCACTTGCCTTACAATGCATCCACCCTGGATTTGATCCCTGGCATTTGATTCCCACTGAGCACCTCTGGGAGTGATCTTCAGCATCACTCAGCATCACTGAGTGTGAATAAAAAATACTTCCAGAGGCTAGAAAGATACCTTACTTTGCATGCAGGCTGAGAACAGGCCTTTCATGCAAAAGGCCCAGATTTGATCCTTGGCACCATTTGGTGTGACCCCTGAGCTCTACTGGGTGTGACCAAAACAGAAAAAAATAAACGTCACTTGTAAACAAAATATTATTTTGAAACATTAACAGCTAAATTTTGCTATAAAATTGGAGACACTGCATAAGCTACTATAATATACTAAGATCTAAGGAATGAAAAAGTAGTTTACTTTTCCTCCTCAGGTTGTTGTGTGTCCTATTAAGAAATAAAAGTGAAGAGTCCTGTTCATCCAAAGCTAAAGATTAGTATTTGTATCCATGATGTTAGAGATTCGGAAAGATTCTGAGGGTCAGAGCAATAGTACAGCAGGTAGGGCACTTGCCTTGCATGTGGCTGACCCGGGTTCGATCCCTAGCACCCCATGTGGTCTGCCCCAGTCACCACCAAGTGTGGCCCAAAAAGACAAAAGAAGAACAGAAAGTTTCCAGGGCATAATTCGACCTGTTATGCTGCAGTCCCCGTACCTGCCAAGAGAGTGCTTGGATTGCCCTTGTCTGTTCCATAGTGGCTCATTTTCTTTTAGCAGTTAAAGAAGATTGTCTTCTTAATTCAAAAAAAATTATATTCTCTAAATGATGAACGCTTAACTCGACCCAAAGATACTCTTCTCAGGGCTGGAGCAATAGCACGGCGGATAGGGCGTTTGCCTTGCAAGTGGCCAATCCGGGTTTGATTCCCAGCATCCCATATGGTCCCCTGAGCACCGCCAGGGGTAATTCCTGAGTGCATGAGCCAGGAGTAACTCCTGTGCATTACCAGGTGTGACCCAAAAGAAAAAATGCTCTTCTCTTTGGTTTTTATCCTTCCTTACTATTCCCATTATCATAGAATTTTAATTTTTCCCATCTGTGTATCTTTGGGCCCCCAGCCCCCCACCACTTTTAAAGGATTTTTTCCCCGATTTTCTCTAGGCAGTGATCTGCACCCCAAACTTGGATGCTTTTATAGCAGTTGTTCTTAGTGGAGTGTCTCTAGAAGATTGGGTTTTATTAGAAGAAAGTTATAATAAATACGAAGTTACACCTAACTGACCCAGAACTCTGCCTACCCTGAAAATGCTTACTTTGCTGTGACCAAATATTTGGGTCTGGATGTGTCTTTTGCAGTTGCTTCTGCGGATCCGCAGGAGAAGGAATGAGAAGCTGTTTCTGTACAGTCTAGTTACTGTTTTTTTTTTTTTTTTTAAAAAGTCTAGTTACTGTGTCAGAGAGAGACGTTTTCTTTGGTGTCACAGAAAATCAGGGACTCTGAAATAAGGCACATTTTATGACTGTTTTAAAGATTGGGTATTTATTTAATAAGACTATGACTCCTGGGGCCAGAACCATGGTAGGCGTGGCTCTTGCCTTAAATGCGGCAGGCCTGGGTTTGTTCGCCGCCATCCCATATGGTCCCCTGAGCACTGCCAGGAGTAACTCCTGAGTGCAGAGTCAGGAGAAACCCCTAAGCACCAACGGAGTGGGGCGCCAAAACCAAAAACAGGTTTATGATTCCAGTCAGAAAAATTAAGACAGATTCAAGAACCATCTTTCCCCAGATCTAGTATGACTAGAATGGACTATTGGCGTGTCGTGGGGTAATGCTGACTCAACTTCATGCTGCTGTATTTTCCCTCTGTTTTTTTGCAGGCAGAGGAGCTTGAGTATTCCTGTGAGAAGTGTGGTGGGAAATGTGCTCTCGTTAGGCACAAATTCAACAGGTTACCCAGGTACAGTTGCTTTTTTTCGGTTTTACTTTAACTATTTCTGAATATGTGAGGTTTACTTGTGGGTCCGTGAACCTGAAGAAGGTAGAGCACGGAATGTTGGAGTGAGAGCCGGAGCTACTGTACAGCGATTGAGGCGCTGCTTGCCTTGCTTGCAGCCAACCAGGGTTCAATCCCCGGCATCTCATATTGTCCCCCGAGCCTGCCAGGAGTGATTCCTGAGCACAGAGCCAGGAGTAACCCCTGAGCACTGTGGCATGTGACCCAAAACAGTTTAAGGGGGAAAGGATTGCAAATACTGGAGAAGACAAGGGATTCCTGAGAATCCCATGAGGACAGTTGGCGGAATCCCACGAGGACAGCGGGAATGATGATAAGGACTGGCTAATGAAATCGATTTTAAGTGAATGCTAACATGTAACGTTCTGTAATCGTGCATTGTCCTGCTTGTTGAAGTCTGCCTCCTTTATCTCCAGCGCGGTAAGAATTGGCCATAGGTCCATCAGTGTGTGTCTGTTAAACTCGGGGACCCAGAGAAATAGCTCAGCGGGCTGGGCGAGTGCATGATCTGCTTGCAAGGTGCCTAGGTTTCCTCCACACGGAGCCAGGATCAGCCCCCAGGCACGGCGCCCAAACTAAAAATAAAATAGGAGTAGCAGTTTCCTGGATTTTGTGTTCCTTTATCCTATAAGTTAGTAAGTTTTCTGTAATCATAAGACAGTTTTTCTGAATTAGGAATGATATTATGTTGCATTAACTCTGTACAGATAGTCATAACACATGTGATGTGGTTATAAGACAACTTTTAATTCTTTCCAAGAATAACTCTCACCCACAAACAGCTTGTTTTTTTACATTAAGTGTTTGCATGGCACTGTGCCGAGTACTTGACCTTGTTTTTGAGCCTCAGTTTTCTAGTAAATACGGAATTTCTGGAACCTTAGAGCAGTGTTTACCGAAGTGGGTTGGGAGTGGGGCAAGTGGTATGCTGAATGGTGGGGAAGGGAGGGGAAGTGGGGGTGGAGGGAGTGCCAGCTGTCTTGCTAAAGGTTAATTTTAAGGGTCAGGTTTATGCTCTGATTTTATTTTCTGAAAAGAGGCAAATTGGGCAAACAAGCTTGGGGACCTCTGCCCTAGAAACTAGTTCTCCCACATTCCATAACCTTTCTTGAAAATTGATTTTCTAATGACTTTTCAAATCATAGCAATATTAATGTGTTGGCCATAGTCTATATCCCTCCACTCTTGCCCTCCCAGCAGTACCAGGCACCCAGGGGCACTCCCCTTGATTCTTGGCCATCTGGTCCAGTTCAGTGCTAGGGCTGGAGGACATGGTGCTGTTTATTTAAGCCTTATGGTGTTGGCTTGCACCAGGACTACCCTAGTGGTGTAGGGGCCTCCAGAGCCACAGCCATGATGCTGGGGGGAGGGTGGTAACTGAGAGAACCAGGGTCAGGTACATGCAAGGCACGCATCTTAACTCCTGTACTAGTTCCCCAAGCCTCTATGTATTTTTAACTGAAGAGGCTTATCCTTTCTTGTTTATAAATATTTTGAGGCAGGAGAATAGGAACAGGGAAAGAAATCTTAAGGAAGATGATTGTTGTCAGTTGTTGGGCCTCAGAACCAGTGTACAATTGAAAATGCTTTTATAGGGCCAGAGCAGTAGCTCCAGGGCTGAAATGCTTGCTCGGCCTGCTAGAGCCATCTTATGCCAGGGGTGAGCCCTAAGCATAAAGCCAGGTGCAGCCCCTGAGCATCTAGGTATACGGCATAAACACCAACCGAAACTTGTTGGAATTAGAGAGTTAAATGACTTCCCTTTTCTATTCTCTAGATACTTGGATTTTGTTTTGCTTGGGGGCTACCCCTGGCGGTAATCAGGGCATACTCTTGCCTCTCAGCTCAGGAATCGCTCCTGGCAAGGCTCTCAGAGCCAGATGTAGCACCGAGGATTGAATCTGGGTCTGTTGCATGCATGGCTTCCTTCTCCTCCTCTTTCTCCTCTTCTTCCTCCCCTTCTTCCTCTTCTCCTCTTTCTTCTTCTATGTCCCCTTCCTCCTCCTCCTTTTCCTCCTCCTCCTCCTTTTCCTCCTTTTGAAAAAAAGATGTTCTTGTCAGGTCACCGTCACTGTCACTGTCCTCCCGTTCATCGATTTGCTCGAGCCGGCCCAGTAACATCTCCATCGTGAGACTTGTTGTTACTGTGTTTGGCATATCGAATACGTCATGGGGAGCTTGCCCGGCTTTGCCGTGCGGGCGAGATACTCTCGGTAGCTTTCATGGGTCTCTGAGAGGGGAGGAGGAATCGAACCTGGGTTGACCGTGTGCAAGGCAAACGCCCCACCCACTGTGCTATCGCTCCAGCCCTTTGTCAGATCATGTTAAAAAATTTAATGTTCATCATCAAATATAAGGACCACTTGGCTTTTGGAGGGGCCGAGTGGAACCAGACCCGCAGTGCTCAGGGCTTGCTCCTGACTCTGCACTCAGGATCACGATCCTGGCAGTGCTGGGGAACCATACATGGTGCTGGGGATAGAACCTGGGTTGGCCGCTTGGAAGGGGAATAGCTTGTCCCCTGTATTGTTGCCCTGGCCTAAGGCTGCTTGACATTTTAATTTAAATTCTGTTCATGTTTATCAATTATATTCTTTTTTTTAATGAATTAGGTAATACTACAGTAGATAATTTAAGAATTTAACCCAGTATCGTTACTAACATTAAAAATTTTTTGAACTCTTCGTCTCTCGCCTTTTGTTTGGTGTTACAAAAGAAGCAGCAGGCTTAGAGGGCACTGGTGCTGTGGCACTCACCTTGTATGCCACCGGATACCCAGCACCACGTGGTTCCCTGAGCACCTCCAAGAGTGACCAAAATCACCTTCCTCTCGCCTCCTAGAAGGAACCTCAATACATGACTATTTTGCTCTGTCCTCGGCAAGCCTTCCAGTGTCTCTGGTCCGTTTTTTCTTACTTACGTTCCTAGTACCTGGCACCATGTGTGGCAAGTGTTTGGTTAATGTCCTTTGAAAGGCTTCTTAGGTCAACCAGAATTATTCTTTGTTTCAGAGGCGGTCACCAGGGATTGCTCTTTTCCTGTAAGGAAACTTCCCCTGTGCGTGACCCATTAACCTTCCCCCCTCCTCCTCTGCTGTTTTTCAGGATCCTTATTCTTCATTTGAAGCGATACAGTTTCAACGTCGCCCTCTCACTTAACAACAAGGTCGGGCAACAAGTCATCATTCCCAGATACCTGACCCTGTCGTCCCATTGCACTGAAAACACAAAACCACCCTGCACGCTCAGTGGGAGCACACACACCACAGTGTAAGTCCCAAGAGGGTTCTGTTTCGGAGTGGGGGGGAGCAGGACTGGGCCTCAGATCCTGGGTTTCATATATGGAAAGCCTGTGCTCCACCTGTGAGTGACCTCCTGTCTAAGAAATAACTCTTCGTCATCCCTTTCAAAGTAGACTTTAGCATCTTTTGGGGGGTGGGGGGTGGAGAGAGGCACTAGAAAACATAAGTATAGGTAAAGGTGGAAGAATCTGCTTTATTTTGGAGTTTTAGTGCTAAATTACAGCCTGATTGAAGTGATGAAATGAAAAGATTTAACAATTCTTCCAAATACATTGGCTGCCTCTTCTAGTGAGTTATTTTTGGGGTAAGTGCTCTTACTCTTTTAGATCACCAGAAGACAGTTTCATCCATGTTGGGTGTATAACCCAACTTCACTTGATTAAAAGAACCACCTGAAACACTAAAAATAGCAGTGCCTGTGTTCTTTGCCAAGAAGTTCTGTTTCAGTGGATCTGAGATAGGACTTGGGAACCAGTAACTTCAACATATAGCTTTGGTGGCTTTTAGAGAAATGCAGATTTGAGAAGCAGTATACCTAAGTCTTACATTGGGACCCTAAAATCGGGTACGTCTTTCTACAATGTTTTATTACCAATGTGAACCAGGAACCTCAATGCTTTCTAGAAAACTGTCCATGAGAACAGAGGTAACCTTTCCTTTTGACTTTGATTCACCATGTGCGTTGGGAAGACCTTACGACTTCTGAATCTCTTGTTTTCTGTGTATTTGCATTGTTTGGGGGCCATTCAGCAGCACTTCTGACTCGTGAACACTAATTTGGCACAGTCATAAAGTTCTAGAATTTCCATGGTCAACGGGAATTTAGAGGGTCGGAGAGATAACAGTGTGCAGGGTGCTTGCTTTGTACACAGCCAACCCGGGTTCAATCCACAGCGCTACTTCTGATCCCCTGAACCCCACCAGGAGTGATCACTGAGCACGGAGCCACAAGTAACCCTGAGCACCACTGAGCATGGCCCAAGAAACAATGGTTGTGATGGTGTTGGGGAGTTCAAAGATTTTTGTCTAAATTTTTAGTTTGTAGAAAAGACCAAGGAGATTTAAGTAGAAGTGCCATTGATGATAAACATTTCACAGGATGGATGAAGTTCATTGATGTGGTTTTGTAAAATGTATTTCCCCTTCCATTAGTGAGATCTATGCTATATCGTATAAACTGATATGAAGACCCCCGTGGGTCACTGATAAAGGCCCGAGCATCTAAGTTTCTCTTAAGCGGCCTTGCTTTGGAGCAGACGTTTTTTGCTTGATCGCAGCTGCTCTCTGCAGGCGGAGCAATAGTGTCTGGCAGTAGCCCGTGTCAGACTGGCGTTCTCTGGACTCTGCCCCCCACATGCGCCCAGGCTCTCTGACACTGCACCTCAGTAGCGTTAAAAGCCTTTGGACAGATTCCTTGCTGTGATTGTAAGAAAAACAGTTGAGTGATTTTCAGCGGTATGCGAAGCCATACACACGTGCTTCTTTCTTAGTTCAGTGCCTGGCACCTTTAAGTCCTCAACAAAGGAGAGCTGTTATTATTGCTTAAAAAGCAAAAAGCCAAGACAAGGTAATTTTTCCTCGTTCTCTTCATCCATATTATATTCAATTTATTTCCCATCCTATTTAGAGTATTGGAGCAGGGAGAGCCTAGAGATGGTATTTTGTTTTCTCTTTTGGCCTCTATTGCTAGTAAAAGTCTTACTGTCTTTTTAAGAGAATATAAGTTACAAATATATATATTTTAATGTAATCATATACATTATATATTTTCCAATTTTCTGATAGTTCTAGACCATTGAAAGCCTCTCAAATGGTGAATTCCTGCGTCACCAGCCCTTCTACACCTTCAAAGTGAGTTATATTTCTTGTGTACCCAAAATTTGTACTTTAAAGGATTTGGCTTACCCTAATTTCCAAAGTCACCCCCTTCTCTTTTCTTTATTATTTCTCTTTTTTGCATGATAACTACTCTCTATTATCATACTTTAAATTTTCCCTCGATCTGCTTTACTCTGTAATCTAGAACATAACACATTTTTAACAGTGAAGCAAGTTCAGATGATCCTTAAAATTTTATTTTAAAACATAAAATCTCCGAATCTGTAGTGTTTTCATCCGACAACTCCAGAAGTTGATGAAAAGGAATTTTAAGGATTGCAAGAATAAAATAACCTCTTTGTACAGAGCACCATTTTCCTAAAGATAGGCATGAAAATCCCAGAAACAGCTTCCCACGCGTGGCTCGCTGCGCTGAGCCCGGAGCCTTTGGAAAGGGGCCAGGGATGCAGACACACCCTGGATCATGGCTGCTCTGCAAACGTTTGGAGAGAAGCAAATAATATGCTTTCGGACATGCCTCCTCTTTGGTTGAACCGGAACCACAGTTCCTGATTAGAACAGTTCTAGCTGACTTGGGTGCGATTTGTCTCTAATATCAGGCTTCCTGAAAATTTGACATCCCGAAGTACATTTAGGAAAGAGACACTTCTGTTGCATAAGGGCTATTGGGGGGCTTTATATAACCATCAAATGACATTTGGGAACTGCTCTTTTCTTTTCCTCCTGTTAATTATTTTTCAGTGCAATTAAAACCAGATGACTAACATGACTAGAAATCTGAAATGGTCCCGATATGAATACTCTTGCCCGTTCTCAAGATACACATGAGCAATACCACTTGGCTGCTTAGAAAGTGAGCAAGTGATGCATTTACAGGATGACTATTTTTCATTGCTACAGGCAAGCTGCCTTTGTGAATACAGTAATTATTAATGGAATGCACTCTTTATGTACCGAATCACTAGTTCCACGAAGGAGATGGTTTCATTGGGCATCATTTTACTTGGCATGGACATATGTTCTCCAGGGTCTACTGGTGTGAGAATCTGAGAATTGTTCTTCCAAGGATGATTAGGCCCTCGAAGACCTGTCATGCCGATCAAACTTAAAAGAGGCGGAGTTAAGAACCAAAATACCTACCGGTTCTCTTACCGTGTCCCTCGTCACATTTGACCCTGGTACTGTAGTTAATACTGCAGCCAAGTCTTTACTGGGATGGACAAATTAATCCGTTCGGTTTTGCTTGGTGAGCAATCAGAAGTAAGGAACGAAGATGGCTAATTGGCTGTCTCTCACGTTCTCCGCAGAACCCTTTTAAACACTTGGTGGGAGGCTAGTCACGTGTTTAGCCTGAAGTGCAGTGATAGCCTGGCCGCTCGCAGCCGCAGGCTGTGTTGGGGCTTATCACTGACCACTTGCCTCTTTTCTTTGATCCACATTGCTGTCCAGTCCTCCTGACTTCCATTGTGGCCTCATTCTTCAGTACCATCACTCTACGTGTTTCTTTACAGTTTCCACCTTTGAATTAAGTTTTTTCCGATTTCCATTTTATTTTCTTTTTTCCAGAATGACATGAATTTATGTGAACCTCCATGGAAGCAAGTCTGTGCTCTGTGACCTTTCCTACTTTTTTCTTTAGTTTTATTTTCAGCTCACAGTAACACCTTACTTATCTGGGATCATAGCAGAACAATTGTTGTTGATATTTTGCAAGTGAATTGGACTGAAGCTTGCCTTTCAAAGCATTCATTAATCCTTAAGACTTTTTCTGTCTGGGGCCAGAGCAGTAGTGCAAGGGTGCCTGCCTTGCACATAGCTGACCTGGGTTCAATCCCTGGCACCCCGAGCCCATCAGAAGTGATCGACAAGCACAGAGCCAGGAGTAAGCCCTGTGCACTTCCACAAACCAAGTAAATGCACAAATAAAATCTTTAAAATTTTCTACTTATTTTAGAAGATCAGATTCATTGTCCCCTTACAGAATTGTTAAATAAAATACATTGGTGATATTAAAATCTGTTGGAATAACCTGAAATATACCTTTCCCATTTTGTGCTGCATTTTACTGATCATGCCTTCAAAGGCACTTAATTCTTGTGAGACAGGTTATCTGCATATTAAGTGGCTTTCTGGTTCTTCGTTTCCCCTTTCTGTGTTTATAACTTTTTCATTTCTTCGCTCTCATTTCTTGATGGACTTGCAGCATTGTTTTATCCAACTTTTCCTGGGAAAGAAAGGGTCCATACCAAATGAGTCAAATGCATGGGCTTTGAAACGGCTGCCTGCCTCAAATATCTTTTTCCTCTACTTTGGTATCTCTGTATTTTGTAAGGTCAAGGTTGCCAGAAATTGACCTACATATAATTGGATAAGTGGAATGTTACTGTTAAATTAATGTGCATGAGTCATAATTTTAAATATCAAAAATTAGTCCTCATGCACACTAGTCCAAAACATTTATTCATTGCGTGTGTCTGCATGCGTTCACAAGAATACTTGCTTTATGAAAAACAACAAACTTCTCTGGGGTTAATCATTAAAAGAAAAAAAGGCACAAAGTGATTGGTTTACGGGTGATATAGGATAGCATAAGAGTTGTCTATTTTTCAAAGCATGGCTTTTTTGGAGTGTGGCGAAGGTAATGCTTAAAATACACATATTTTTCCCCTTTTTTCCTCTGTGTATTTTCCAAAATGGAAAAGATTTTTGTTTTTATATTCTATATCAAAAGACTAATGGGGACAAGTATTTGTCAGACTTACAGGTTATGTTCTTTTTCCTTAAATTACAGGAATTTTACCTTTAAATCCAAGAACTCCTTGGCTTTATGCCTTGATTCGGATGGTGAAGATGAGCTTAAACGTTCTGTGGCCCTGAGCCAGCGACTTGGTGAAATAACAGGTAGTGAACAACTGCAGGAAGACCTGGAGAAAGTAAGTAACTCCTCATTAAGATACTGGGGCTGGAGAGATAGCACAGCGGGTAGGACTTGGTTTGGTTTGTCTTATTTTCTGGACCACTCTGTTCTCAGGCACTCCCGGCTCTGTGCTCCAGAGCTACTCCTGGTGGAGTTCAGGGGTCCGTATGTGCTGCTGGGATTTGAACCATGGTCATGGCTGCTGCTGTATGCTAGACGGACGCCTTAACCTTTACCCCTAACCTTAATCTCTGTCCAGCACTTTTTTTTTTAATGTAGGCGTATTGCTATTTATTCAGCCATTGATTAGGCTGATTGAATTGGGCATGAACTCTACCTTACCTTTTTTTTTTTTTTCGTTTTTTATAATTTTACTTATTGAATCACAGTGAGAACAGTTACAAAGCTTTCGGGTTTAAGTTTCGGTCATACACTGAAACACCCAGTGCCCATTTTCCACCACCAAAAACCCCAACATCCTCCCATCCCACGCCCTCCCCCTACTGTGGGTCAGATGATTTCCACATTACTCTCTCTTTCTACTTTGATTACATTCAATATTTCAGCACCAGACCCACCATTATTATTTGGGATTTTACCCCAACACGCAGATCTGCCGAAAAGGCAGCCGTAGACAGTTTCCTATTGCTGGTTATAAATAACATATGATGTCACGTGGCCACAGTAGTAGCTGCAATTTTGTAATTCCAGAATTTTAACAAATAAATTTGGAGGGATTTCTGTCAAAACCTGCTGGGTTCTGAAATTTGCTCCTGAGTCTCTTGGATCATGGCCATTAAGCAGCTTGATCAGAAGCCATAGAGGCCTTTCGTGGGCGGCTACTCGGGGTCTCATTGGGGCGGGGAGGAAGGGTCCAGCTCCACCCCCATCCCACAAGGCCCCACGTGTCTCATCACTGTGGGCCCAAACCTCACTGTCCAGTGGCTTCTGGAAGATAGAGGCCACCAAGCCGCCAAGAGGGAGCAGACAGAGGGACAACACCCATTCCCCCCTGGGGTGGTCCGGTGCCAGTAACCCATTGCGGGGACCAGACGCATCTCTGCCAAAAGCCACTGGGTTCCAAGATTTGTCTCTGAGTCTCTGGGATCATGGCCGTGAAGCAGTTTGATCAGATCCAGAGAGGCCTTGCCTCCAATTATATAGCTGAACTGGAGTTGGTTTGTGGGTGTGTCTCCCACATACCTAACTTTTAGCTATTTACTTATTTGGTAAACTTTGCCCTAAGTTTTTGGGGCCTGACCAAAAGCACAGCAGCAATTTTAGGGTATCTGGAAGTCTGAAGGCGCCATCAGGCTGCTGATGCACTTGCCTCACAGATACAGATTGACCTGCTGGCAGCACCATATCCCCTCTGTCCAGCACTTTAAATAGTTTAAGGAGTCTGTTTTCTCTCATTTCAAAAACCAATCTATTTAAGCATGCATTGAAATTGAAGAAATGGCAAAGTGATGAATAAGTTGCTTTCTCGTTAGCTCTCAGAGCTTCTTTTCTGTATTCATCCTCAAGTAATTACTTGTTCTATTTTGGTACTAGTTGGATATGGGGGAACCATGATAAATGTTTTGCATCAAGAGGCCAGCCTGGTAATTCAAATGCATGACTACATCATCGTCTGTCTATCTTGACATTTGAGAGGAGCATGGGCAAACCAGACGTTCCACATACAGAGCATGTGCCTCAAAGAAACATGTTTTCTTGGAGTTTGTGCCATTTTATGCAACTGGTTTTATTTTGGATCTCCCTTAAGTTCATTTTTGTTCTGACTTTCTCCTCATCTCTCTTTTAAGCTATTAGTTTGGTTACCATGAATGAAAAATGACTAAGTCAGAAGTATTCCAGAAATGAAAGTTAATTCAGAAAATAGCTTCTGAGTATTTACTTGCTGTGTTTTTTTATTTTGGTGTTTACCGGGTGGGAGGCGGGGCTTGGGATGTTCCTCCAAGGTAACAGTGCTTTGCAGCACTCATCCTGGGCTCAATCCCCACACCCCATCTAGTCCCCAGACCACTGCCAAGAACGATCTCTGAGCCCAGAGCCAGGAGTAAGCCCTGAATAGTGTTGGGTATGCACCCCCCCCCCCAAAAAAAGTAAAAAGAAGTACTACATATAGTGATAGACTATTTACAGTATATTCCAAATGTATTTGGGAGAAAAGCCACCCAAAATACGTTGAGTAGTTATCTCCCAAGTGCTGGATTCTGAATGTCTTTAAAAGAAACTTTGGTGTACCTGCTGAGTTTATGTATTAGGTAGTTGTATTAGGTAGTTACTAGCCTTTGGTTGTTGAATAATTCAAGCATCAAAGAAAGGAAACTTTGTTGACATAAACTCTCACTTCAGAGTCTTTGAAGATTGCTGTATTTGTATGCATTCCTGTTTCCTCTAAAAATGATTCTCTTGTTCAGGATTCCAAATTCTGCAGAACAGAGCCTGGGAAGGCTGAGCTGGAGACCCCAGGGTTGGAAGGGATGAGTGAGGAAGAGCTTCTAGCCGCCGTGTTAGAGATCAGTAAACGAGAAACTTCACCGTCTCTGAGTCACGACGATGACGACAAACCAACCAGCAGCCCCGACACTGGATTCGCAGAAGATGATATTCAAGAAATGCCCGAAAATCCAGACTCTGTGGAACCCGAGAAACCCAGAACGGCTGCAGAGCTGGGTAGGTTTGGTGAAAATAAGGATTCCTTGGACAAGGTATAAAGTATAACTGTGTTTTACAGTGGTACACTACTGGTTAAAATGTGGCTTTAGATGTACATCGAGAGCAAAAATGCACTCTTGGGTGCACTGGATAATGTATGTCACTTTGGATCACTTTCTCTCACCACTAGGTCACAAACTTGAATGATTCAGTTTTCATTTTTCTGAGTCACAGCTACACCAGTGGGAGCCAAAGTAATCAGAGTACAGTGGGTCAGGCACTTGCCTTGCATGCAGCTGGCCCAGGTTCGATCCCTGGCACCAACAGCACCAGGAGTGAAGTTCCTGAGAGCAGAGCCAGGAGTAACCCCTGAGTATTGCTGGGTGTTATCCCCACCCCACCCCCAAATAAAAGTTACACCAAATTTTAATGTATAGTGTAAGTTCTCTCTTCTTTGCATAGAGGTCTTAGTCTCGTGGTCCTGGCTGTATCATTTGTATGAAATTTTAAATAGTTTACCCTGTTTTGTTTCAGTCTGGGGCCACACCCAGCTGTGCTCTGGGCTGACTCCTGGCTCTGCACTCAGGGATCACTTCCGGCAGGCTCAGGGAACCATATGGGGATGCCGGCAATAGAACCCAATTGGCCACATGCAAGGCAAGCGCCCTTCCCGCTGTGCTATCACTCTGCCCCGATTTTAACCTTTTTGAGATTCATTTTTCATATTTTTTTATATAGGGATATACCAGATATAGCTCAAAGGTACTTTTGTGCTGGCAGGGATGTTGGCTCATTCCTGACTTTTCTAAGGGATTATAACTTAGTAATGCCAGGGACTGAACTGAGGTCAGCTCTGCAAGGCAAACCCATTGACCTGTCTCCCTGCCCCTTCCTATTTTTTTTCTTTTTTATGGGAATTTAATTGTAAAGATCAACTTTTTTTTTACTTTGATAAAGTAATTGTGTGCATCCATATTAAATGTCCTCTGCTCCCCGCTCTCACCCGTGTTAAAAGTTAACGAGGGCCAGAACGTAGCCCAGAGGGCTCAGAACATGCTTTGCGTGATGCCGTTCCCAGTCCAGTCCTGGCTCAGAAGTTCCCCTGAGTACCGGCAGGTGGGCTTAAAAACAAAAACAGAACTGTTAGGGAAACAAAGAACCAGAGGAAGGGCCAGCGCAGCAATAATCGGGCATTTGTGACCAGAGAAACAAAAAGTAAATAACTCCATTTTCAAATACCCAGAAGGAGCTCCTGACCCTCCTGTCTCCTTTCCAGAAGTGAAATTACTTGGTACCCTCGTCCCCTGGGGAATGTTAAGCTAGCAGACAGGAAGTGCCCCTAATCGCAACCGGAGCTGCCGCGGCCTCTGGATTGCGCAGGTATTCTGAGTGGGTGGCATTGCCCACTTCGGGAAATAGTAACTGAGACATGGAGAAGGAACCAAAAGGAAAGAGGAAGGTGGTTCTGATTTTCCGGGGTTAATGCTTTTAAACAGAGAGATCGCCATGGACTTGTTCAGTACATGAACAAGTGGATTTTGGGGTGGCGTGAGGGGACTGGGTGCTCGGGGTTTTCTCCTGTCTCTGTGCTGGGATCGTCCCTGGTGGTGATGGGGGGACGAGGTGCTATGCAGAGATGGAACCGGAGTCACCGGCCCTTGGGCCAGCACCTCAGTGTCTGTTCTCGCTCTCCAGCCTGTTGCTTTTGAGTGTCTCATCTGTTGGGGAAAAGGTTCCTGGCATTTAGTAAGTTGGGGGCTGGAGCGATGATATATCACGCAGGGTGCTGCCTTGCGTGCGTCCGACCCAACACCCTCCATGGTCCGCTAGGCTCTGTCACCCAAGACCCCAAGAACCAAAACTAGATGAGTAAGAGACCAAGGATGTTACTCAGTGGCCGAGTAACCTCGAGTTTAGGCACAGTGTGACAGGATGAATACTGTATTTCCCAGCACGTCCTGCATGAGTTTAGCAGTAGGTGGCGCCCTTGTCCCCAGATTTCAGTCCGTATGAGATGACCTCCCGTTTGTGTCCATTCTGCCGCTTCAGATCCTGCCGGTTTTACTGAGATCACCAAAGACTGTGATGAGAATAAAGAGAACAAGACTCCGGAAGGCTCTCAGGGAGAGGTCGATTGGCTTCAGCAGTACGACATGGAGCGTGAGCGAGAAGAACAAGAGCTGCAGCAGGCGTTGGCCCAGAGCCTCCAGGAGCAAGTAAGACACGCTTGTCATGCGGCTTTCTCTGCCTGCCCGCCTTTCCCACAGAGTAGAGTGCTCCGGGTGCCGCCGAGCACTTGTGTCAGGCATGATCCAGGTAGTTTGCATATAGGAAGTTGTTCTTGTTGGAGTTTTGGGGGTTGGGGGCATATGGGAAACCCGCATCCAGTGGTGCTCAGGGCTGACTCCTGACTCGGTGCTCAGGAGTCACTCCTGGTGGACTTGGGGGACTAAATGCGAAGCTGAGGATCGAACCTGGGTCACCCCCATGCACGGCAAGTGCCCGACCCGCTGTACTGTTGCCCCAGCCCCTGCCGAGGGTCATTCGTTCTCAAAACGAAAGGCTTCTTTGGGACTTTACCTTGGATTTGGATACAACGAGCAGGCTTTCATTCTTTGAAAATCCAAAGGTGATAGAATATACATCGTTAGTTACCTCCTCTTTAATTCATTGCATGCAGGATAGGGCTTTTGAAATCATCCATCCCTAGGCCCACTTATATTTTGTAAGCTGTAGAGATCGTGCACTGGGATTTTATCCTTAATATCCTTAATATTTTTAGGCCACTATCTGCGGTTCACAGTATGAATTTTTTGATTCACTTGAACCCAGAATAGTATCTGACGTTTTAGGTACTGCTCACAGACTACCATTTACTGCTCCAGATGCATAACCTGTTCTCCATTTATGCTTGACAGAGCTGGTTGGCTTTGTTGTTGTTGCTCCTGCTATACCTGGTATTTTTCAGGGCCCCAGCTCACCTGCCAGAGGTGCTCAGGGGCTGGGTGGTGCCATGTTGCTCCCCGGGCCTTGTACACGGCCTCTCCCACAGAAGCTGTATCCCTGGCCCCGAAAGCTGTTGGTTTTCTTCTTGTCGCAGTCTTCTGAGGTTCCTAAGGATTATGTATTCCTTATCCTTTGCAGTGCCATCCAGGTACTGTTGGGAATAAGACTGTACCTAGTCTCCCTCAAGTGTATGCAGAGGGTATCCACAGAATGATCAAATTCAGAAATCTGATTTCTCTCAAACATTGTTACTCAGTCCTAGCTTCACGCTAATCGTATCTGGGGAGTTATAAAGACCCTTGTGGGGGCCGGAGCAACAGTACGGCAGATAAGGCATTTGTTTTGCACGTAGCCAACCTGGGTTCAATCACTGGCATTCCATATGGTCCCCCGAGCACTGCCAGGAGTAATTTATGAGTGCAGAGTCAGGAGTTACCCCTGAGCATCGCCGGGTATGACCCAAAAAGCAAAAAATAAAGAACGTCATGTCTGGTGTCAGGCACCATATGGCTCCTGGCCACCACTGGGAATAGCTCCTGTTTTTGTTTTTTTGTTTTTTTTGTTTTTTTTTTGAAAAAAAAAACTGATATCTGGATTGTTCTGTCTCTTAGAATTGTAAAGTAATCGACCATAGGGTATGGTGTGGTTATTTGGATGTCTTCCTTCCTCTCCTCATCCTCTCCCCCCTCTCTTTCCTTTGTGTCTTCTAATAAAGGTGATTTTTCTTTTAACTCCCCCAGTTATTCTAAAATGTGACCAGATTAAGAACTGCTCCTTTATTTTTTGTTTTGTTTTGTTTTGAGGCCACATCTAACTCTGCTCAGGGCTTACTACTCTGCACTCAGAGATCACTCCTGGCAGGCTCTGTGACCATAGTGAATACCAGGAATTGGCACCTGGTTCTGTCTCGTGCTATACTGTCTCTCCAGCCCAAGTGTAAAGAGCTGTTGCTTTAAAACTGTTTCCTAGCCAGTCTGTGTTCTTTATAAGAAGTACTTCTCTGGCTGTCTTGTCAAGTTGTATGTATGCCCAGCTATTTTATAAATATATTCTTTTTTTTTTTTGCTTTTTTGGGTCACACCTGGAGATGCACAGGGGCTACTCCTGGTTCTGTGCTCAGGAATTACTCCTGGTAGTGCTTGGGGGGACCATATGAAATGCTGCGGATTGAACCTGGGTCAGCCACATGCAAGGCAAACGCCCTACTAGCTACACTATCGCTCCAGCCCCTATGTTCATTTGTTTTTGTTTTTTTTGTTTTTGTTTTTGTTTTAATTTTTACTAGTGAGACACCATGAGGTACAGTTGTAGATTTACAAATTTTTGTGCTTGGGTTTCAATTATACAATGATCAAATACCCATCCCTCCACCAGTGCCCATTTCCCACCACCACGGATCCCAGTATCCCTCCCACCCCCCATCCCCCCACCCCACCCTGTCTCTGTGGCAGGGCATTTCCTTTTGTTCTCTCTCTCCTTTTGGGTGATGTGGTTTACAAAAGAGGCATTGAGTGGCAATCATGTTTGGTCTATAGTCTACTTTCAGCATGCTTCTCCCATCCTGGGAAGATCCTCGAAACACGCTTTATTTGGTGCTCCCTTCTCTATCTGAGCTGCTTTTTCCCCTAGCATGTGTGGCTGACCTCCAAGCCATGGAGCAGAATTCCTGGTACTAATTTCGGCCACCCTTGGGTGTTAGTCTCCTATTTTGTTACTTTCTGTTCCCCAGATGAATGCAATCTTTCTATGTCTATCCCTCTCTTTCTGACTCATTTCACTTAGCATGATACTTTCCATGTAGTACCACTTGTATATAAATTTCATGGCTTCATCTTTTCTAACAGCTACATAGTACTCCATTGTGTAGATGTACCAAAGTTTCTTTAACCAGTCATCTGTTCTCAGGCACTCAGGTTTTTTCCAGATTCTGGCTATTGTGAAGAGTGCTGCATGTTCATTTGTTTTAACGCGAAAGGCCACGGTCTCATTTGTAACCTGTATTTTAGGGAGCAAGTTGAGCAAACCCATTTTCATAGACAAATGAAGAGTATTTGAGAAAAGTACAAAGTAATTCTGTTTAAATGATATATTGTGTTTATTCTGCATCATTTGTAGGTAATCGTTTTTTAGAAGATGAGGGCAAAAATGTTTTGGTCACTATTTCCCTATTAGCAACTGGCTACATATCTGCCATGTACCAGGTATATAGTAGAGACAGATGAAGGGGAAGGAGAATTATCCTGTTGTCACATGGATTGGCCTTTAGTTCACATGGCAAACATCACCACTAGAAGAAATGACACTTGGTTGTTGTATTTTGTTTTTTTAGTTCCAGGGTTTGTACCTGGGGCCTCACATATGCAGAGTGAGCTCTTCCCACTGGACCACCTTCCTGGCCCCAGAGAGGGCTTTTTTTTTTTTTTAAATTTTTTTTTTATTAGTGAAACACCATGAGGTACAGTTGTAGATTTACAATTTTTTGTGCTTGGGTTTGATTATACAATGATCAGATACCCATCCCTCCACCAGTGCCCATTTTCCACCACCATGGATAATATCCCCCCACCCCCATCCCCCCATCCCCCCCTGCCTCTGTGGCAGGGCAGTCCCCTGTGTTCTCTCCAGAGAGGGCTTTTTAACCCACAGCTCATGTGTTACTAGGATGGTACTGGGGAAAGTTCTACATAGCCCTAGAAAGTCATTGCAAGTAGATAAGCTCACAGACACATTATTTGAAAGGACTTTCCAAATACTTCATTTTATCCCTGTTAAATAAATGAAATCAATATGTCTTTAAGTACCCTAATTTGGTTTTTGTCCCTGTAGGAAGCGTGGGAACAGAAAGAAGACGATGACCTCAAAAGAGCGACAGAGTTAAGTCTTCAAGGTATAGACTGCTTAATTTACCTTCCTCCCTCACCCCACCCCCCCCGCCCACCCCCAGCCCTGTGACGTGACACAGGAAAACATAGAAGATATTTTAACTTTGGGTTTTGTTTTACATGAGAGGGGCGGTTTTGGGGTGGATTTTCTGTTCTCTTTTGGGCCATACCCACTTCTGTCGGGTTACTCACAGGCAGTGCTGGGAATGGAACCCAGGGTTGCGGCACTTGGGACCTGTGACTCCCCAGCCAGTTGTTTTTAATAGTAATGAATCCTAACATCTCCAGGTGAAGAAGTAGGACCTTACAGACTGCCAGACTGCTTGTAGAAGCAGAACTGAGAGATTGCTTCTAGAAGTAGAACTGAGAGGCCACTTCTAGAAGTAGAACCTTAGAGACTGCTTCTAGAAGTGGTATTTTCCCTCCTACCCAGAGGAAACTGCTAATCTAAACTTTGTCGGTCATCAATAACTTGACTGGAGAAATAATAATAGTTTGGCCATCTTATCCTTAGGCTCTGCATATGTATATGATAGAAATGACATGTATTACATATGTCATATACATATATAGTAGTAGTTTGGGGGCCACACCCAGAGGTGCTTGGGGTCTTGCCCAACTCGGTGCTCAGGGGTCAGTTTATACAGTGTGTGGGTTGGGTCTGGGCCTCCTGCGTGCCAAGCATACGCTCCCAGTAATAGGCCCGGGGGCAGCAGTTAGTAAGCCTCCCCTGGGGAGACAGGCACTGTAAGGAGTGAGTGTGAGAATGAGGTTCCACAGTCACGGCCTGTGGCCAGGCAGGTGCCGGAGCCCACAGAGACCGTCCCGGGAGGTGACTTGCTGTGTCTCTCCAGCTCCTTCTGTGCTGCAGTGAGTGTTTCAAGCTAGGACAGATACCACGGCATGCAGAGGGGACAGAGGAAGCGTTCCATGTTAAATGCACCCTAGGCTCTGCCAGGCCTCCCAGTCTCCAGGTGCTACAGTGGTGGTGCTTCGATCTACATATTTTTCCCCTCTATTATTATTACTGATTTTTTTCTTATCCTTTCAACAAAATTTTTTTTTCATTTTTTTAAAAATTTTGTGTGAAGGTTTGAACCCAGGGCCTCACACATGCAATTCACCCAGCCACCTCCTTTCTCTCCATGTGTATGCATGCATATATATATAGAGAGAGAGAGGAGAGATTAGATTTTTCAGTGATTCCTCTGAACCATGTCAGAGGTCTTTCATGCAGAATAGCTGTATGGAAAGTCTAAAATTGTTGTTTGCAGGTTTAGAAGATCGTCTCTCCTTGTTTGTTTTGTAGAGACATTCGGAGATGGGGTCTGGGCCTTTTATTTTTCTGGACTTTTTTTTTTATTGAATCACTGTGAGATACACAGTTACGGAGCTATTCTTGATTGAGTTTCAGTCGTACAGTGTTCCATCACCCATCCTTTCACCAGTGTCCATTTCCCACCACCAGTGTCCCCATTTCCCCCTGCCACCTCCACCCCCTGTATTCTCTCTTCCGGGGAGGAGGGCCACACCCAGGAGCACCGATGCAGTGTCAGAGGCTAAGCACTGGCCTCCAACATGAAGGACGGTGGTGCTCCAGCCCCAGATTAATATGTCCCTTGGAGCCCCTATGATACAATTTGGGTTAGTTAGCAACCTGTCTTGTGTTTCATTTTGATCTAGACACGTGTGACCTTAGTTCCACAAAGTCTTCATGGTTCCTTCTCATCTCTCTGTGAAAAATCTCCTTTGGGGGGGGGGGCATGTTTGATGTTTGGGGGGACTACACCAGATGTCAGGGCTTACTCCTCACTCAGCTCAGGGATCACTTCTGACAGGGCTCAGGGACCATTATACAGTACCAGGGATTGAACCCAAGTCAGCCACATGCAAGGCAAGAGCCCTCTCCACTGTGCTATCTCTCCATTACTGGCCCTTTTTTTTGTGATTTATTTGGAGGGGAGGTGGTTTGGGGATTTTTTTGTGGGGGGCGGGGGGTGGATTTGCTTTTTGTTTGGTGTTTTGTTGCTGAACACACACCCAGCTGTGTTCGGGGCTTACCAGCTCTACATTTGGGGACCAAACCTGCTCAGCTTCACGCAGGGCAAGTACCTTACTCACTGTCCTGTCTGGCCCCTTTGCAAGCGGTTTTCTATGACGCTTTCTGTTTATTGGTTTTGTATTTTGGTTTTGGGCCACACCCAGTAGTGCTTGGGGGCTCCTCCTGGCTCTGCACTCAGGGATCACTCCTGTTGGTGCTCAGTGGAATATGTGGGGTGTCGGGGATCAAACCCCCCCAGGTGAGCCACATGCCAGGCAAGCGCCCAACCCACTGTACTATCTCTCTGGCCCCTTATAAGACTTTCTTTGCTCTGTGTGTATGGTGGCAAAACACCTTTTTTTTTTTTTTTTTTTTTTTTTTTTTTGCTTTTTGGGTCACACCTGGCGATGCACAGGGGTTCCTCCTGGCTCTGCACTCAGGAATTCCTCCTGGCAGTGGTGCTCAGGGGACCATATGGGATGCTGGGAATCGAACTCGGGTCAGCCGCGTGCAAGGCAAATGCCCTACCCGCTGTGCTATCACTCCAGCCCCACAACATACCACTTCTGTTCTACAGAATTTAGTGAAATTGCATTCAATTCTATTCTGGATGTGTTTGTAGGGCACACAGTGATGCCTGAGGGTTCCTCCTGACTCAGTGAGGAGAGCTCTCTTTCTCTCGCTCTCTCTCGCTCTCTCGCTCTCTCTCGCTCACTCTCTCTGTGGTCCCTTGGTTTGCTCCTTTCTCATGAGAGTCATGTCACCTTTTACATATTTCAGGGTCAAAGGAGCACTTGTTTTTGTAGGTTTCTGGTGCCTTAAAATGGTTTTCCCCAGAGTGGGCAAGGTGCATCGCAACCCGTGTGTTTCCTCAGGGTGATGGATGTGTTCCTGGAGCGGTTTCTTTTCGTGGTTTCTGTTGAACAGCTTTTACCCACCCCTGCTCTCGTGCCTCCCCCCTCCCCCCCCCCAGAGTTCAACAGCTCTCTGCTGGATTCCCTGGGCTCCGACGAGGACTCTGGAAACGAGGATGTCTTGGAGATGGAGTACACGGAAGCCGAAGCAGAGGAACTCAAGAGAAACGCTGAGGTGGGGAGCGGTCCCTTCCAGAGAACGTGTGTGCAGTACAGATCGGGTCTGGGGGACGGCAGGGGAGCTCGGTGCTCTGCCCCCGGCGCCACTGCGAGGCCTGGGTCATCACTGTCCTGAGAGCACCTGATCCCTCCCTCAGGCCCACCAAGCACCTGTGACTCACAGGACAGCCAGGGCAGTGGGGAGGGGAGGGTGGGGGTGAGGGGAGCAGGGGTGCCAGCCGCTGCAGTGGCTGCCACTGTGGGTACGTGGATGAGAGTGGCTGAGTGTCCCATCACCGTCGCTCTGCGGCCAGGAGCTGACACTAGCAACCAGAGCAGCCGCTGGGTTTCACCGCGTCTCTCTAGCGCACACCGAGACAGCATGTGTCAGCTTCCACAGGACATTCCGCGGTCACGTTTGCCTTTGTCGAGGTGGAAAGGTAAAGTTGCTCCCATCGTCTTTTCCAGACAGGAAATCTTCCTCATTCTTACCGGCTCATCAGCGTCGTCAGTCACATCGGAAGCACTTCTTCTTCAGGTGAGTGGGCACTGTTTGGGCTTCAGTGATTTGTCAAGGGGTTGAGGGAATAGTATTTGCTCCTTACTAGGTTGCTCTGTGCCTGGATTTGTACATTAAAAAGGGGGGAGGGGGCTTATTCTATCATTATTATTATCATCATCATCATCATCATCATCATCGGGCTGGAGCAATAGCACAGTGGTAGGTCATTTGCCTTGCACGTGGCTGACCTGGGTTTGATTCCTCCACCCCTCTTGGAGAGCCCGGTAAGCTACCGAGAGTATGCCGCACGCACGGCAGAGCCTGACAAGCTTCCCGTGACATATTCGATATGCCAAACACAGTATAACAAGTCTCACAATGGTCCAGCTCTAGCAAATCAGTGAACAGTGGGAGGACAATGCTACAATGCTACGATTATTATTATTAAATCACTATGAATTACAAAGTTGTTCATGACTGAGTCTAGACATACAGTGTTCCAGCACCAGTCCATTAACTGGTGTCCACTACCCTCCACCAATGTCCTGAGTTTCCCTCCTGCCCCCAGCCTGCCTCTACGATAGGCACTTTTTTCTCTTTCTTTTTTCCTCTTTTATTCCCCCTTTTAATCACTGTGGTTTGCAGTACTCTTACTGATAGGGTGTTAGACATATTTTACCTCCTTTGTTTGTTTGTTTGTTTTGGGGTGACACGTGGCAGTGCTCAGGGGTTACTCTTGGCTCTGCACCCAGGAATCACTCCTGGTGGTGCTCAAGGGACCATACGGGATGCCGGGGATTGAACCTGGGTCGGCTGAGTGCAAGGCAAATGCCCTGTCTGCTTTACTATCCTCCAGCCCCCCAGAATCCTCAATTCTAAGACCTTGTGTCTTTCAGGCCATTACATTAGTGATGTGTATGACATAAAGAAGCAGGCGTGGTTCACTTACAATGATCTGGAGGTGTCGAAAATCCAAGAGTCTTCTGTGCAGACTGATCGGGATCGAAGCGGTTACATCTTCTTCTACATGCACAAGTAAGAGCCTTGACTGTGTCTGGAGCCCTGGGTTAACTCTCCCTTGAAATCTCCCTCCTCAGGGAGGATAAGAATGTTCCCGTTGCTTAATCGACGAACAGTCCTGGGGAGTTAGTTGGTCACCTTTGCTTAGAGTTCGGCTCTTGATATTTTCCTTTAAGTCCAGGGGATTTTGCTTTCAGCTGAGACTCATTTGCTCTTTACAAGCAGCATCTACATACTGCAGGCGACTGAAGACTGGTTTTTTGTTTGGGGGACACGCCCCGCAGTGCTCGGGGCTTCCTCTTAGCTCCATGCTCAGGGACCATTCCTGGTGTTGTGATGGAACTGTATGTGGTGGTGGGGACCAAACCAGGGTCACCCACACGCAAGGCACCGTAACACTTTACTGTCTCTCTGGCCCAACACTGATTTGGGTTTTTGTTGTTGCTGCTGCTGTTTTTGCTTGTTTAGATTTGGGCGTGTGTGTGTCTGTGTCTGTGTGTTTTCAAGCATGTGTTCAGAAGGCAATGGAACCCAGGATGTGGTGCTGCTTGGACCCTTCAGTGTTAGGGTTTCTCCAGGGTGCTGGCCATTGGACCAGGACTCTCTCCTGGACTGTCTCCCCAGCCCCAGAAAGAGCTTTTTGATAAAATCCAGTCTATCGGATCTTTTTTCCATCTTGTTTGGGTTGGGGGTGGTGGTTTTGTTTGGGGGCCACAGAAGATAGCCCCACGTGGTGCTCAGGGGTCACTCCCAGCAGTGTTCGGGGGGATGGGGCCCAGGCCACCTCTGTGTGAAGCGTGAGGTCAGCTCTGCTGCACGCTCTCCAGTGCACTCAGATCCTTCGGCCTCCACGTGTCTCGGCTAAAGCGCCTGGTTTCTATGAATGGGAACGACGCAGCACTCTGCTGTAAGTTACCTTTGCCAGGCCGTTTCCCTCCCAGTCCCACAGCCCTGCCCTGAAAATCAGTATTCAGGGGCCAAAGAGATAGTATAGCCGGTGAGGCGCTTGCTTTTTTGTTTGTTTTGTTTTTCTGTTTTGGGGGTCACACCGGGCGATGCTCAGGAGTTACTCCTGGCTCCACACTCAGAAGTTAACTCCTGGTGGTGCTCCGGGGACCCCATAGGGTGCTGGAGATCGAACTTGGGTGGGCTGCGTGCAAGGCAAGTGCCCGACCTGCTGTACTGTTGCTCTGGCCACTAAGACTCTGCTGTGCTTGTGGCACTGCATATGATCCCAGAGTGCCATCAGGAGTGATCCCTGAGCATAGAGCCAGGAGTTCAGTGAGCCTTGAGCACCCACCTGCTATGGTCTTACTCACAGTCACAGTCCTCCCGTTATTCATCGATTTGCTCGAGCTGGCCCAGTAACATCTCCATCGTGAGACTTGTTACTAGATTTGGCATATCGGATACACCACGGGTAGCTTGCCAGGCTTTGCCGTGCAGGTGAGATACTCTCGGTAGCTTGCCAGGCTCTCCGAGAGGGGCGGAGGAATCAAACTCAGGTCAGCCATGTTGGCTGCATGCAAGGCAAACGCCCTACCTCTGTGCTATCGCTCCAGCCTATAGTCTTACTAACAAACAGAAAATCAGTGCTGGAGCCAGCGCTATACTACAGCAAGTGAGGCACTTGCTTTGCACGCAGCTGATCTGGGTTCCATACCCGCATCCCATATGGTCCCTTGAGCAGCACCAGAAGTGATTCCTGAGTGCAGAGCCAGGAGTAACCCCCAAGCACCACCAGGTGTCACCCCCCCCCCCAAAAGAAAATCAATGCTCTGGATTTAGATGATCAAATTAATGGTGTGCGTATTTAATAAAATTTGGGCACCAAGGGGCTAGAGAGAGAGTACAGTGGGTTGGGCATTTGCCTTGCACTCAGCTGACGTAGGTTTGACCCCCGACATCCTATGTGGTCCCTGAGCCATGCCAGGAGTGATCCCTGAGGACCAGGAGTAAGCCGGGAGCACTGCTGAGGGTGCCCCCCTCCCGCCCCCCAAAATGTAGGCACTAAATGGGCGTATGCAGGCTTTTTCAATGTCTGGGTTTGGGTTCCTCGTTTGATTTTTGCTGATGGGGTTTCCTGTTTCCTTTGAAGGGAGATCTTTGACGAGCTGCTGGAAACAGAAAAGAACTCTCTGGCAGTGAACGCCGAGGTGGGGAAGAGCGCGCGGCAGGCCTCCTGAGGCCCGCAGGGATGCCCCGTGCGTCTGCACGTCTCGGACTGCCCCGCCTCGCCTGCCTTCCGCCCGAGGACATGGGCCTCCGCTCGAGACCGGAGCAACACACAGCTCAGGGCCGCCCAAACGACGAGGGTGCGGGGATGCAGTGTGCTCCACACTACCTGCTCCATGGAAGCTTGGGTCTCACGTCGGTCACTGATGATCCTCCCTTTCTCCTACACAAGCGGCACTTCCTTTTTGTCTTGGGAGTACCTGTTGTAAATATATATATATATATATATATATATATACATATATATACGTATTTATATATATGTATATTTGTGTGAGTGTGTGTGTGTGTGTGTGTGTGTGTGTGTGTGTACGTGTGCTCATATGTATGTACTTGCGCACACATTTATGTGGAATGGATGGAGCCTTAAAAGAGTTAGGGTGAGCCACCAGAGTATGCCTGCTCAAAATTAATAGCACAGTAGTTTGGAGAAGAAACAAAGTTGCCAGAGTCCCCCTCACCCAAGAAGTGTGTGGAACATGTTCTCCTGTCCTGGTCTCCACACGTTTCTTACCCGTGGGCTTGGGGCTGGCGTGATCCTCGAGTACTTCCGCTCGAGTCTGTCTCTTTTGTGTGTGTTTCTTTCTGATACAGCCCATGGAAAGCCAGCTCTCCGTGTTGCACTCATGACACTTTGTCCTCCTTGCACAGAGTGCGTTCCTGCCGCCCGACCTGAGCTTATTTTTTTTTTTCTTTTTTTTTTTAGTGCAGAATATTTCATGGATTTGTAACGCTCTTGCTATTTACAAGCAGTCCCGAGAAGTGGACTGGCGGTGCTTGGTAGCGTGCTAATGGTTCCACATTTGGTGTTTTTTTTACAGTTTGCATTTTCTTTAGATTCCTTCACCAGTGTGTTCCTTGTATGTCACCTACCTTATTAATGGTGGTGGAGACAGAGTGTTTTTCTCGTTCTTCTTCTGTCTCATTCTCTGTAGAGCAAGCGTTATCCTAAAGGACTTGCAACAACCAAAACGTTTTGGAGGTAGGAAAACAATAGCTTCCCAGTTGGTCTGGCCTGCTGATATGCTCAGGGATGGCGGAGAAGGTGACCATCTCTCTTTCCCAGCAGGAGGGTCCTGTGAAAGCTAAACCCCGAATCACAAAAGCTAAATGCTTTGCCACACTTCTGAGATTAAGTGCCCGAGCTGCAGGAGAATCACTCAGTCCTGTCACCATTGGTGGACTTTGCCCGTCACGCAGGGTGGCAGTTACAGCTGTGCTTTCTTTAAAAGTAACGGTAAAAGGTGCGAAATAATATTTCTCTCACAGAGGTGCTTCTGAGTGGAGGCTCAGTTGGGGGGCTGTGACACTAAGTGCTCGGCGGTGGCCGCCAGCTGACCCGGCCATCCTGGGAAAGCGGTTGGTGAAACCGGATGAAGAATGAGTTTGAGGGGAGTCGGGCCACAGGATAAAATTTCTGAGCCCTTGTTGAATCATTAGGTGCACAGAGTTGAGCTTAACAAAAATAAAACAGCAGTATTTTCATTTGTGTGATTTCTTTTTGAATAAACGAGATGACTCTTCAGTTTCTAAGGTAGGGCAGAACTAGGTCAGACTTTCGAGAGGAGACGACTGTTTAAAGTATGGAATCACAGATGGACAACCTCTTTCTGGAAGATTGCCTTAAGGGAGCTCCAGGCCCACCCTCCAAACCCCGAATATGTTTTGATATACAGTAACCCTCCTCTATAATTTTTGAGTCTTTGAACTAGAAATGGCCCCATCACTTTTGGCTTACTACTGGTACAGACTTAACCCTCCTACTATCTACCTACGTTTTATCATTCTGGATGTTTCTAAAGTGGATCAGTGGTAGAATACGCAAGAGTAGTAAGTATAAAACAGAGGGAAGATCGATCATTTGTTTTTAGAACTAGCTTTTTACGATTCTGTTTCTGCAAGTGCGCCTTTGTTTTTTTCTTGCTTGAAAATAACTGGTTTTGTACGAGTGAAGTGTTGATCAAATTCTTTAGCTATTTTTATTTATTACTTTTGTGTCTCTCTTTCGAAGGCACTGTGAAAAATGAGTGGGAATGATTTGAAGTGAGGGCTGCTTTAGGGTACACAGAGGAATAGATACAAGTCTAGGTGACCCGGGAAGTGTCCTCATGTGTCTTGCTTATGGTAGCTTGCGCGCATACGGTTTTGAAGCACATTTTGCTCAGAAAAACTAATTTGATGGTCATGTCTTAAGCAGAACTTGTTGGGAGTTGGCTAGTGGGGTACATGAGTTATCTCACCGCTCAGATACATGCAAGTTAGGTCTTGGTTGTACCCACTGTCTCTCTGTTGTGGTCTGGTTTCCCTTCTGTCGCCCTTCGCTCCTCTCGTCCCTTTCACTGCTAAATTACTTCCTTGTTTTGGTTCCGTAAAGCGTTGGTGGAAACAGAGATGCCTGCTAGACCATGTTGATGGGGTTTTATGGTTTTTATGTTTCTGTTGCCTATATATTTAAAATCTCTACCCAGGTCATTTCTTCGGTGCAGTCTGATCGGTTGCCCAGTCAGTATCGGGACATGAGACGTTTGGTATAATGGGGCCAGAAGGGACAAGTTAGAGGGGACAAGCGTGATTCATTCCCGCATGGTGACTGACCTAACTTTGGCGTGAGCCAGACGTGGCCGTGTTGAGTTGGCCCTGACAGCACTTCGCCTCTGCTCACACTGATTCTAGCTGGGGTTGGGAGGTGGCGCGTGACTAGGCCCGGTTAACACTTTTAGGGTCATGACTAAGCCGGAGAAGGAGGAGGCAGTTTTGTGGATATATTTGTCTACATGGATGCACCCTCGGGCTCTGTGCCAGCAGAAGGAAAAGCGCGTCCATGAATTGTTTTCCTCTCTGGATGTCCCAACGCCAAAAGCTTTCCTGCCGTAGTGTGTGCTTCTCAGGCCCGACTTACTGGCTCCATCAGTTAGAAATATGTTTACACTTAAAATGTATGCAGTGACACTCACAGGTGAACTCATTGACTCCTCAGGACAGACTAGACTGCACATTGTTTCTCTCTTTTGATCAAGCATTAGAGTCTTCTAACAGAAGCTTCGAGAATTAAAACCTCAGCGCATTCATTAATTCACTGAATTCCATATTGCCTTCACCGTTACGTGATTAGACGAACTCTAGCGCTACCCACGGACAGCTGCGTGTGTGAGCTGTAGAGTGAGCAGGATCGGGCATGCCCCGGAGGAGAGAGTCTTGGCATTTATGTCATGAGGCTCCAGTGGGGGGGGGGGGGGGTCTGGTAACCAGAACCAGGAAGCTGGTTAGCGTTGATTAGTGTTCTGAAAAGAGACATACAGACATGGTGGCGGTGCCTCCTCCCTCCTCTCTGTCCTCGGGAGCGACAACAGCGGTGTCCACTCTTGTCACCCAACTGTTTTTCCCTCCCTGTGCAATGGATCACCCAGTTGGAGTCTCGTTTTCCATGGGAGAAGCACCGCGCTCTATCCAAATGTAGCTGCGCCTCTCAAGCACAAGCGAGGATCCCCCACCCCCAAGAAAACTTCCCCGACAGCCAGTCCAGTGTCAGACGCGGCCACAGCACGCATTAATGCCCTTCACCCACCCCTCTGGCTTCACACTGATGCTCTCTCCAACGTGTGCAGAACCGGCAAGATTCTACCCTCTCTCTAATACATTGCTTCCACGTGCTAATTTTTTTCCCTTTATTCGTGTCTTATTAACATCTGGAAATAAATAATATATTTTATTGGAAAACTAGTTCGTTAGGCCTCGAGAATTTCGCGACGACTCTCCTTTGCTGTGCCCCTCGCCACCACGGTCACTGCCTCCTCTACAGCATGCTTCGGTGTCCGCCCTCGGGACACTCTCCTTCCTCGTACCCTATTTATTAGGCACAGCTAGTGACCCTTCCCTGCCTGTGTGTTGCTGTGTGTCTGAGGTTTCCACGGAATACAGGTGCCTGTGTGACCATACGCGGCCCCCCCCCCCCCCCCCCGCCCCACCGGGCGAGAGAACAAGAGTGTGCGGGTCTGAATTAGGACCCAGGTTTGGTGAAAGGCCAAAAACAGCCTCCCACGCGGCTGAGCCGTGTTGAGAACAGGGTGTGAGTGAGCCTCCCCGCCCCCCCCCCCCCCTTCCCGGGCTTTCCTCCCATGCCAGCCCATTTCTCCGGCCTCCTTGCCGGATGCTCACGGCAGGGGCCAAGGAAGGAAGCCTTGCACGCCAGGGTTTGCTGGCGGCTCTGGCCGCATCATTTGTAGGGTGATTTTTCCTTTGTGTCCCAAGTGACTCTGGATTCTTGATTCCTTACGTTGTGTTGTATGGAGCGGCACTTTATCTGTGTTTTAGCAGAACAGTTTCTCTGTATCCTTGAAGGTTCCCCCTGGGTTTTTGTTTTCCTTTTAAATTATGCATAGAGTTGTTTTGGTTTTCCTTTTTTTTTTCCCCTCCGAGGGTGTGAAATTAAAGCCTTTATTAACATTGGACTGGCTCCACTTATTTCGAGAGGGACGTACTCTTGCAGGCACCGGACACCCAGCTTGTCAGGGCTGTGGAATGACCTTGGACTCTGCCTTTCCTGCAGCTGTTAAACCTTAAGAAGGGAGTGAGGTCCCCACCAGCACCTGGGGAGTCTGCAGCAGGGCAGGGGTTCTGGGTAATATTTTAGAGGTACAAACCCAAACCGCTTGCCTTGGTTCTTCTGGGGGGGTGTTGGAGGGGGGAAGAGTTCAGCTTGATTGCCAGGAGTGCCCCCCCAAAAAAGGAGGCACAGGGGCTATAGAATAAGAGTCACATCTCATCATACCTGCTTTAGACCTCAACTCTAAGCCACTGGGAACAAGGAAGAATTGTGAAACCTAACGGGATCATTTCTTGGTCTCTTGCCCTCTGGCACAAGTGGGGGTCCCTGGAACAGCACCTGAAGAAGGCAGGGGAAGGCTCTGGAGGGGATGGGCTGCGGGCCCCTTCCTGAGGAGTCTCCCACCCCGCACTTAGCCTCGGGATGGGACCCAGCAACCAAAGGAGACTAAGCGGGCAGGGGGCGGGCGGCCTGGCCTCCGGCTCAGAAGAGTCCTTTGGCTTTCTTGAGGTTCTGTTGCTTCCACCGGGGCAGGGCAGAGAACGCTTCCGGAGACATCCCAAAGACCTTGTTGAAATCCTCCACCGACAGGTGCGCCTGGAAGGAGACAGCCCCGAGGGCAAGGGTCACAGGTCACAGGATCTGCGAGGTTTGCTCCAAGACTCACAGGCACAGCCCAGAAAGCAGATGAGCAGCTGC